CAACTGTGCGAGATGCTGCTGCAGCGCTGGTGGTCCCCATACAGTCCTCCTTTCCGCACTCTCGTCAATGCATTCTGTACCCCCAACAGCTGGACTACTTTGAAACCGTGCTGCACCCCTTCTCATCCCCGGCCTTGGAGGAGATCCTCTTCCAGCTGCGCGAGATGCTGCTGCAGCGCACCCTGCAGACCCTGCAGCAGGAGGCAGCTCGCCCCGCCAACGCACGCGCGAGAGCGGACAGCGAGGACAGAGATGGCCTGCCCCAGACTGCTGCTGACCTCAAGGTGAGTCCTGAGGTGCTGCTACAGCACATGCTACAGAACATGCCACAGCACATGCTACAGAACATGCCACAGCACATGCTACAGCACATGCTAACGACGCTGCAGGCAGAGAGGTCGGCCAACGCGCGGACGAGAGCGGACAGCGAGGACAGAGATGGCCTGCCACAGACCGCTGCGGACCTCAAGGTGAGGGTGGATGTGGCATCAAGGTGGGGCTAGAGGCAGTGAGGAGCAGGAACGGGACAGCCTGCCACACACTGCTGCTGACCTCCAGGTAAGTCTCTTCCCTCAGTTTCTTCAAGAAATCCCAATCAAATCTGCGTACTGACTGTCAAGTCACCAGATTTTTCACCATTCACTTGTCTCTTCTCTTCCCTCCATCCCCCACACCCCCCCTCACCAGGTGATCGCGAATGACATCAGCACCGACCTTCTCCCCTTGACCTTCCTCCACTCTTCTCTGTTCGCCCTCCTCACCCCCCCTGCACCAGGTGATGGCGGACGACATCAGCTCGGGCCTGCTGCCCTACGAGCTGCGCCGCACCAAGGTCAACGTCTTCTGCTTCACAGGCAAGGTTCAGATAGACCCTCCCCCAGAAGAGCCCCAAGTGGTGGAGGTCCTCCCTGCCCGCCCCGCCGCCCCTCCTGCCGTCTACACCCCCAACTCCGCCCCGCCCCCGTCCGTCAACACCCCGAGAGGCAACCCCGGAAACCTGAACCGGACGTTTTCGGGGTCGAGTTCTGGGTCGAGTGCAGTGTACAGTCAGCAGTCTGGTAGCAGTGCCCGGCGGCAGAGTTAATTTGTCGGCGGACCGCCAGGGACGACGGGGAGGGGTAGGGGTGAGGAAGGGTACCCGCCTAGGACGGGTGCGAGGGGCACGGGGAGGTGCATCTGGGCGCGAAAGGGCGGGCTCGTCGAGCCGGTAGTGGCTCGAGGGCTTCTTCCCAGGCGTACTAGTGGCAAGGAATTCGGGTTAGCTTGTCTTGAGGCCTAATTAACATTTGTCTTCAAGTTGTGTGATGTGCAATAGCTTTGTATATGTTACAACATTGAGATGAAATTGAACCATGGCTTTGGTTTCAGGGCTGTAAGTTAGGAGTTCCTTAGAGAAATGAACCCCAAGCAATATACCCTGACCTGAGTGTGCAGCCGTTAATAGTATTTTTCCCGTTTGTTGTGTTACATTGCCAACTCCCACCACTGTCTACTTTTTCACTGCCTCACCTCATTTCTCCACTGCCAGCAGCTTGCATCATTGCCCGTCGCAACGCAAATCCACCCACTTCGCTTCCAAGCTCGCTTTCACGTCGCCCACCGCCGTTTCCGCCGCGATCTCCGGATCCAGCCACCATGCCTGTGGGAAAGCCCCTTGCGCAGGTCGCGATGAGCGAGGCGAAGCGAAACTGGCCGTTCGTCTTCGGCTTCGCCGTGACGGGTTACATCGTCGCGAAGCTCACCGCGTCGCTCAACCGTAAGTGTCGGCGCCGCTATAATCGTAACCTGCCATTGCCGTTCTGGAACATCCGTTACTCTTCCGCGGACGGTTGTTCTCATCTTTCGCCTGTCCATTCTTCCTTCCCTTCTACCTTTTTAGGGCCCTTGTGGTGTCCCTAACAAACCCTAACGCTACGGTGTCACGTATTTCTTGTAGTTAGCCTAGCACGCTATCCTCCCAAACAGCTCTCTTATTATTGTCGTGTTGAAAGGGAGACTTCTATCAGATTAACTACAGTGCTCGGGCACTGAGGGATTCTTGTACAGTGCCGTAAGGCGCTATAGCTTTCCATTGGTTCCGCCGGCTTTTACTTCTGCCAGGGGTCTGTCTTAGCTCCCTCTAAACGTCAATTCACCCAGCTTTCTTTCTAAGCTTCCTCAGCCCACTGTCTTCCTGACAGCTTCATCAATACAATGTCTGCATATCATCATCCATTTGCATGCAGTGGTGTTTAATCAGACCCCAAGCATCTGAATATTGTGTCCAAGCTGCTAGTCAGGGTTTCCTTTTCACACTCACATTTTTTTTTCTCAAAAATCTTCTCCTATCTCCTTTCCCCTGTGACCTGTCCTGGTTTTAATTTCAATTTACCAGCTGCTGACGCCCAGAAGTCTCCATTTATCAATGTACACGCGCACAGGCAAGTATAACTGTTATTTTTTGCGAGACTTCATCATCAGTTGCTGCCTGGGCTGATCCCAGACCTTCTTTTATTAAGCTTTCATTTATTCTCCCTTCGTTCTCCTGTGCAGATGAGCATGTCTATGTTGACCCTTCAGTTGGCACTACAGCTTGTGGGATAGTGAAGGTGTTCGTGGTACGAGTATATCAATGTGCTGTACCGTACCATTTTCCGGCATGATACAGTAACCACTGCTAGCACTCCACACAACCTTGTTGGCCCCTTCAATATGCGTTTATGTAGATGGGCTTTCTTAGCATGTGATGTGATTGCAGCAATATTGTACTTGCACATTGTAAGTTAAGAGCGAATATTCCGTGACGGACAAAAAACGCCAATGCCACAACCACATCGTGTGAGCTGTGCTTACACCGGGCCGCATAAAGCCAATGCAGAAATTTCAAGAAATGGGGGAACTGCACTGCAGCGATTCGGCCACATCCAGTAGAGCCGAATCGAGATTCGAGAAAGCACTGGTGATGCTACGGAGAAATTGTAGTGTACCATATTTGGGAGACAACAGAGATGGTATTATCTGGGAAAGGTAGGCGACCGACAACCGTTCCTCAAGACGGAAGATACTGCAGCATGGGCTCGCGCAAAGCACGCGCAGAGCGCGTACGATGGATTGGAATCGTATTTCGATACAGACGAGAGATGATCACTGAATGGCTTCCATTACTTCCCACGATCTGATTCAGTTTTAATCTGTGCCCTCCCTTGTAATATATTTTTACAATTTCGCAGAACTCCCTGTCATCATAACCAAGCTGCTGCTGTCCCCTAAACGATCCTCATGGATAATTACCGTTGCATACGGTTCCCGCCGCTGATACTTTTCCTACTACTAACAGCGAATGTCACGGTCTCGTCAAGAGTGGCCAATACTGAGGAATCGCAAACGCGCCAAGCTCTAGTCAAACCTTCCACTTCTCCGCCAGGCGGCCTGGCGGATCCGCGCAGAAGCGGAGGCGAATGCGCCAATAGCAGTCTCGGGGACGTGCTATCGATGCATGGCTGCTCGGGGTTCAAAAGCATGTTGCGCATGCCGGAATGCTCGAAACCGTTGTTAAGACCCTCACAGCGAAATCTAGTGAAGGGGCTACAGTGTTCGCGCCAACCGACCTCTCCCTTCTGCTCCTCTCCCCGGTCCTCCTCGCGAGCCTCCAGGCCCCGGGAAACGCGCGAAAGCTTCGCGAAATACTGCGTTACCACTTCGTTCCCGAGGAGATCAGTGTGTTTCGCTGGTCGGGCTCTAGACGGTCTCTCCAGGGCTCCCGCGTCGTCTTGAGCAGCGACAATCACCCGCAGTTGACAGTAGACGGCGTGACTGTGAAGAAGGTCATTATAACTGAATGCGGATTCACCGTATACTCCCTCCGCGGGCTGCTCGTACCGCCGGACATGCAGATACCGGAAATCGGAGAAGCTAGTAGCGGGTTGCAAGTGCAGCTGGGCGAGGGGAGCGAGTTGCGGCGACTCGACCTTGAGACCCCGAAGCAGTCTTACGGTTTCGCCGCCGCCCCTGCCAGTGGCTCTCAACCGTCGCCAGTGCAGCCTCCCCCTGTCGCTCTGCCATCCTTCCCCCCGCCATCTTTCCCCCCCACATCTCCGCTCCGCCATCTTCCCCCCCGCCACCCTCCCCGCCACCGTCACCCCAGCCACAGTCTCCCCTTCCCCCTCAGTGTAAGCTGGATTCGTCTCGCCGCTTTCTCCTCCCTATACACGGGAGCCCTCATTTTTTAGGCGCCTCAAAAATAGACTCCTCCCTATACACGGGAGCCCTCGTCAGTATCTCACGGGGGGGTTGAGACCATGCGCGTGCAAGCGAGTTGCGTGTCTCCCCCCTGCTCAACCCATGCGCGGGCATCTCAATCCCCCCATTCCCCCCTGCTCAACCCATGCGCGGGCATCTCAATCCCCCCATTCTCCCCTTCGCCTCCAGCCTCCTCCCTCTCCACAGGCTCTGGGAGACATCGTCGGTATTGGCAGTACAAGCAAGCAAGCCCATGCACCTAGCTCTCCTCTTCGCCTCCTCTCCCCTCTCCTACCCTGCCAGCCTCCTCCCTCTCCACAGGAGCCATCATTGGCATAGCAGTGGGGGGAGTGGCAGCACTGGGCAGTGCGATCGCCCTCGTCGTGCTCCTCTTTTTCACACGCAGACGGGGCCCACAAGGTAGCAATTCTCTGCTGCAGCAGCCACAAGCACGACTGAACATGCTGATCGTGTGGATGCAGCAGCACTGATGACCACATTCGCCCTCCCGACGCTGATCTTCCTCACAATCACTCGGAGGCCTGCAGTGTATTTTCTCCTGTACCGCCATATTTTTTAGGCGCCTCAAAAATAGCTTCCTCACAATCACTCGGAGGCCTGCAGTTGATTCTCTCCTGCACCGCCGTGATCGATACAGATGCATGGCTCTGATCACATCTCAAGTTATGGCGCTCATCACAATTGCCCCTCCCTCCACCCTCTTCTCCCTTTTCCCAGCAGGGGACGAACCCCCCACAGACCCTACTGCAGCAGCAGCAGCAGCGGCAGCAGCAGCGGCAGCAGCAGCAGGCTCTGGTTGCGGGTCAGGAGCAGGCGGTGGCATTCCCATCGCACCTGGCGGCGGCTCACACGGCAACCCGCTGCTGTGCCAGCAGTACCCCATTGCTGTGATCAAGCAAGCCACGGATGATTTCTCGGAAGCGAGGAAGATTGGGAGCGGCGGGTACGCTGACGTGTACCGAGCCGTGGACCCCAGGGACCCGTCGGTGGTATGGGCGGTGAAACGATCGAAAGTGCTGACCAATGACTTCAAGCGAGAGGTGAGTGGGTTTTATAGACCCTTCTTTTCTCTGAATTAGGTGAGTAGCTTCTCGAGGGAGAATTATTATCTTGAATTTCAATGGCCTTCGGTTGTGTGGGTGGTCAAGTGTTTCAAAATGCTCGCAAATACCTTCAATGCCAGGCAAGGACAAGTCAGCAGGACAATATTGCCATTAGGCTTTGACTTTATTGTGGGGTGAGGGCAGTCAACCCTGACTCTTGGAAGCTCACATTTATGTTCGTTCCTACGCTATTATTCCTATCGTGTACAATCCCAACGTTAACCAACCGTATCCCCCCCCCTCACTCTCCCCATCCCGCACGTCCTCAGATCCACGAGATGGCGTCGAAGCACCACCCGAACCTGGTGTGTATTTGGCAATGCGCCGTTGCCCCTTTCACCCACTCCTCCCTCCCCCCACGCCATCCCCAGATCCACGAGATGGCGTCGAAGCACCACCCGAACCTGGTGCGGCTGCTGGGGTTCTGTCTGGACATGGATGTGGTGAACGAGCGCACGGAGCAGATCCTTATCTACGAGTACATGGTCAACGGGGACCTCGAGAAGTGGGTCGGGCCAGGTGAGCCTGAGCGACGTGGGTGGGGCCAGGTGAGACGTGGGTGGCGCCAGGTGAGTGATGGATGTGTCCCATTGGAATGGATGTGTCCCATTGGAATGGATGTGTCCCATTGGAATGGATGTGTCTGTGGCTCTACGAGTACGTGGCCCACGGGGACCTTGAGGCGTGGTGGGACCAGGTGAGACTGAGAGACGTGGGTGGCGCCAGGTGAGACTGAGAGACGTGGGTGGCGCCAGGTGAGACTGAGAGACGTGGGTGGCGCCAGGTGAAACGTGAGTGGGCCCAGGGGAGACGAGGTAGGTACTGTGACTTGTGACTGTATGCCATGTGACTATATGCCGTGTGGGCATATGCCATGTTGCTATATGCCATCTCACTGTATAAGTGGAGGTGACTTCAAACACGAATGCCTGCATTCTCACTCTCCCCTTTCCCTCCTCCTCACTTCCATCTGCATCCCTCCCTCTCCCTCCCCCCTTTTTCCTTCTCCCTCCCTCCACGGTGCACCTGTGACCAGAGGCGCCCAAGTGCCTGACACTGTCGCAGCGCACTTCCTCTCCTTCCCCTCCCTTTCCTTCCCCTCCCTTTCCTTCCCCTCCCTTTCCTTCCCCTCCCTTTCCTTCCCCTCCATTCGCCCAATCCCAGAGGCGCCCAAGTGCCTGACGCTGTCACAGATGGGAAAACATAGGATTCGATCCGCAGCAAGCCTCCTAAGAGTAGATCTTAGACTAGAACTAAGATTTAACAGCGAGAAAGCTAAGAGAAAGATTTCTCAAGTCAGAACGCCAGACACAATAGGCCCGGATGTCGCGTGCGAACGCGTTTCGGCCAACAATAGGCCTTCATCAGCGCACTAAGAGTCAAACATACTGACTACGATCTATTTCTACTCCCTTCCTCGCTTGTGTAGGCTCTAAGAAATTGAGCCATCACAATCTCAACATCGCGGTTCCGGTGGAGCACTTTGCCAGCTACCAGTTCTAGCTGTCAAGTTCAGCAAGTAAACATGCAGAGAGGGACATTCCAGAAGGTTCGTCCCCCATTATTGGGAGGCAAACAACTGGATGCGGTTTCCCTTCTACACTATTTTAGCATGTAATAATCTATTACAATTTTTCCTAGGTAACTTCCAAGCTGTAACAACCGAGGATAACGAAGTCCTTGATTTTGCAGGGTGTTTTTGAGAAGTCCTTCCCCTCCCTTTCCTTCCCCTCCCTTTCCTTCCCCTCCCTTTCCTTCCCCTCCCTTTCCTTCCCCTCCCTTTCCTTCCCCTCCCTTTCTTTACCCTCCCTTTCTTTCCCCTCCATTTGCCCAATCCCAGAGGCGCCCAAGTGCCTGACGCTGTCGCAGCGCTTCAACATCCTGATCGGGGCGGCGCACGGGTTGGAGTACCTGCACAGCTTTGGCATCGTGCATCGCGACATCAAGCTGGCCAACATCCTGCTGGACCGCCACATGCACGCCAAGGTCGCGGACTTCGGCCTCGTGCGCATGGGCGAGGGCACCTCTGTGTATACCACTAGAATTCTTGGGACTCCGGGCTATGTGGACCCGGCGTATTCTCGCACGCGGAAAGCTACAACGGCTACTGACGTGTACAGGTACGGTACTGCTGCTGCTCACATTCTTTGCCCCTTCCCTTGTGGCTTTTTCTGATTCATTTCAAGGAGTGAGACGTGGCGGGCTCTGTGGTGGGTTGCACTGTTTGGCATCAGTAAGGTTGTAACAGCGGGTCATGTGGACTGGCTTCAGGCATGTAATTAGTGATGTCAGTGTATTGCTGCTTCCTCTAATGTTTGCGGTTACAGTTTTGGCATCGTGATACTAGAGGTCATCACGGGGAAACGGGCGATTATCAACTACAGCAGCAATCAGCTCAGCATCAGAGACTGGGTATGGGTGTCTGAAGTCCACCAATGTATTTCAGTCGTCATGTCTCACCAAACTTTGCTGTCCCGTGCTTGCATGGGCATAGCCTGTTCTCTTCTCATTCACCATCCTTTGCCCATTCACCATCCTTTGCCCATTCACCATCCTTTGCCCATTCACCATCCTTTGCCCATTCAGCACATGCCCAAGCTGCGTAGATCGCCCCATGGATCAATGCACTCCCCCGTGCATCTCCCGGCCGAGCGAATTATCACCAGGACAGCCCAGGGGCCCTCACGGACCCAACGCTAAACGCACCCATCACTTATTCTGTTGCCTTGCCATCCGTCTCTTCCACATTCACTCCCCCATGCAACCTCCAGGCCGAGCAAATGGTGGCCAACAACACCCCAACCGCTCTCAAAGACCCCAAGCTAGACGCACCAATCTCAAACGACCTCATCCTTCGCTTAACCCACCTGGCAATCAGCTGCACGTTGATGCCCACGGCCGATCGGCCCAACATGAGCGGCATACACAGCGAGCTCACTGCCATCAGGGATGCATGCTTTGGGGCCGAGGAGAACCGGGCGGCCCACCAGGTAGATGTGGAGCTGCTGGGCGTGCAGGCGGCGCAGACAGTGCAGATCGATGAGCAGATTGCAAGAATAGACATGATAGGATCATCACAACAGCCAGGCTTGGAGTCGCTATAGTGTCGTGCGATGTGTGCGCGTGTGGTTTGGTGCGGAGGAGAACCGGGCGGCCCACCAGGTGGATGTGGAGCTGCTGGGCGTGCAGTCAGCGCAGGCGATCGGGATCGATGACCAGATAGCAAGAATAGACATGATCCGGTCGTCACAACACCTGGGCGCGGAGTCGCTATCGTGACTGAGGGGTGTGCGCAGTGGAGTGGAGGAGAGGAGACCTGGGTGGCGCACCAGGTGGATGTGGAGCTGCTGGGCGTGCAGTCGGCGCAGGTAGTGGGGATCGACGAACAGATCGCAAGGATAGACATGCGCGGCTCACAACAGCCGGGGACTTCAATATAGTCGGGGGTAACAGAGCAGCCAACCAGGTGGATGTGGAGCTGCTGGGCGTGCAGTCAGCGCAGGCGATGGAGATCAACGAGCAGATTGCAAGAATAGACACGCTCGGGTCGCAAGAGCCGGGGTCTTCAATGTAGTCAGGGATAACAGAGCGGCCCACCAAGTGGATGTGGAGCTCTTGGGCGTGCGGTCAGCGCAGGCGATGGCGATAGACGAGCAGATTGCACAAATAGACATGCTCGGCTCATCGCAACATCCAGGCTTGGGGTCACTATAGTGCTTGTGCAGGCGTGTGCTCTGGAGTGGGAGTGGAGGAGAGCCGTGGTTCACAAGGTGTACGTGGAGCCGCTGGGCGTGCATCCGATTTTTTAGGTGCCTCAAAAATTGATTGTGTGCGTGTGTGTATTCTGGAGTGGAGGAAACCCGCGTGGTTCTCAAGGTGGGTGTGGAGCTGCTGGGCGTGCAGCCGGCACAAGCAATGGCAATCGCCGAGCAGATCGCAAGGATAGACATCATCGGGGTGGTCACAACAGCCAGGCCCTTCAATGCAATTTTGTTGTTGGGCTTATCTGCTCCTGTGTGCGGTGTATTTGTGAGTTGTCCACCATATATATCATGTGTTGCTTATCTTATTCGCTCGGGGCTTATATGCTCTGTTCCTTGTTCGTTACTGGCTTATCTAGAGCAGGGAGAGGATCCTCCTCCCACTGGTTACTGCCGCTGCTGTGCTGCCGACAAACACAGCACTAAAACGAAATTTCAAGGGACAAATGAAACCAGGTGGGCGTTCTTTCCATTGGGGAGAGGTTGACTTCGTGGGGAGTTAAGCCAAGCTGTTGTACATGTCGGTGTACGAGGGAGCCAAACCTCACTCTCCTGCTCTCCTGCCCTCCTGCTCTCCTGCTCGCCTGCTCTCAAGCTCTCCTGCTCTCCCTCCTAGCACCACGAGTCATCTGCAAGCAGAGCCTTGTAGGGCAATGAAAGAGCAAAGGACAATGCATTGAGGACCCGGTGCCCAGGCAACATCCGTCTTCACAGCAGGCAGCCCCCTGGTGCGACACTTGCCCACCCTCCTTGCACCGGCGCACTAGGCGTGCTGTATTCTCTTGTTGCACCATCTGACTCCCCCCTGCCCTGACCATCCACACACACATAGAGAGGTGCTCCATACCCTGCACGCTGCTGCTGCTGCTGCTAAGAGACCGTTTTGGCAATCAGATCTGTTAGTCGCTCAGGGATTGTTTTCCTGCCCGCCTCGAGCCGGCCAAGCAGCTGTATCGTAGTAGCCTGAACCACCCTGCCACCGCTGCCCTGACGACCAGGCACTCCCGGATTGGGAGCTGCTCTCCGTTGCTGCGCCTCCTGCTGCCACGCCCCCTCTTCCCCTGCCTCCCGCTGCTGCTCCTGCCACAGGGCAGGGAGTGGGGGGGCAGGTGAGTGGGGGGGCAAGGGGGGGCGGGTGAATGTCAATGTGGGTCAATTTGAGTACATGCAATCTCAGTTTCAGTGGAGAAATGGAGAGTGTTGCTGGAAGAAACCCCAGCGCTTTCCTTGCAGTTTTCAAGGAGCAGCGTATGAGCACGGGAAGGGCATTGGGATAGGTAGAGGAGTAGTGTGGACGGGAATTCCTGGTGGAACGGGAATTCCTGGTAGACAGCATCAGCTAAGCTTGCAACGGGTCCTGCCATCTGGCCTCACTCACTCACCTTCCTGCCTCCCATTGCGCGACTGGGGGTAGTGAGGGTAATTGTGAGGGTAGCAGACAACAAGCACCAGAATCGCAGCAGCAGTGCCAAGGCTCATTCCCCCTGCCACTGTAGGCTCATTCCCCCTGCCACTGTAGGCTCATTCCCCCTGCCACTGTAGGCTCATTCTCCCTGCCACTGTAGGCTCATTCCCCCTGCCACTGTAGGCTCATCCCCCCTGCCACTGTAGGCTCATTCCCCTGGAGGCATCCTCAAAGTAGGGCTCCTCACCTTCTTTGGACCCCGGGTTGAATTGGCGGAAGCATAGGAGGAGCACCAGAAGCACCACTGCAGCGAGCAGGCCTATTCCCCCTGCCGCTATGCCGATGGTAGCTCCGGTTGATAGGGTAGCTGCACGCATGAGGGGCACGGGATGCATGTTGGGCATGGGATGCATGATGGGCATGGGTCATGGGATGCATGATGGGCATGGGTCATGGGATGCATGATGGGCATGGGCATGGGTCATGGGATGCATGATGTGGTCGAGGGACTGGAAAAGCTCAAAGTTGGCCGGTGCTCCAGAAAATGCAATCAGATGGAAAAGTCAGAAACATGATCATGTTGGAATTGAAATGCATGCAGACAACTGAAGGTCCGAGGGTGGCATGGAGCGCGGAGCTGGGCATGGCACAGAAGAAGAATTTCAGTCAGAATCCTTCATGGTGGGGCTACGAAGTTCGAGGCAGCACCCACGGCTGTACTGGGGGAGACAGAGGGCGCTTTACCAGGGGAGGAGCTCGTTTGGCTGGCAGCGGAGTTAACAGGTGCTGCTGCTGGCTGCGGCTGCGGCCGCGGCTGAGGCTGAGGCTGCGGCTGCGGCTGTGGCGCTCCTTGTGAGCCGGGAGCAGGCGTCGAACCCGGTGCAGCCTTGGACGGTGGAGCCTCCGAAGGTGGAGAAGGTTCGGATGCGGGTGCAGGTTCGGATGCTGGTGCAGGTGCGGATGCTGGTGCAGGTTCGGATTCTGGTGCAGGCTTGGACGCTGGCGCAGGCTCGGATACTGGTGCAGGCTCGGATGCTGGTGCAGGCTCGAATGTTGGTGCAGGCTCTGATGCTGGTGCAGGCTCGGATGCCGGTGCAGGCGCGGATGCTGGTGCAGGCTCGGATGCTGGTGCAGGCTCGGATGCTGGTGCAGGCTCGGATGCCGGTGCAGGCTCGGATGCTGGAGCAGGCTCGGATGCTGGAGCAGGCTCGGATGCTGGTGCAGGCTCGGATGCTGGTGCAGGCTCGGATGCTGGTGCAGGCGCGGATGCTGGTGCAGGCTCGGATGCTGGTGCATGCTCGGATGCTGGAGCAGGCTCGGATGATGGAGCAGGCTCGGATGCTGGTGCAGGCTCGGATGCTGGTGCAGGCTCGGATGCTGGAGCAGGCTCGGATGGTGGAGCAGGCCCGGATGCTGGTGCAGGCTCGGATGCTGGTGCAGGCTCGGATGCTGGTGCAGGCTCAGATGCTGGAGCAGGCTCGGATGCTGGTGCAGGCTCGGATGCTGGAGCAGGCTTGGAAGGTGGGGCGTCGGAAGGTGGGGCTGGGCCGCTCGGCAGAAGGGGCGGAGGCGGAAAGGGCGGAGCGGGTGGAATGGGGGAAGGATCAGAAGCGGGGGCGAGGCGCCCAAGTGAGTCAAGCATTCGGCGATTGGCCAGCAGCATTTCCTCCAGCCTCCTCTTCCGCTCATCCCAGCCGTCCACTGCGCCCTCCTCCCTCATTGCGCGCCGAGCCCAGCGCCTCTCCCCGTCCTCATGCATTTTCCCGTGGTGGTCCGTGCTCCCGTTGTTCCGAACATCGCTGCCGCCCATTCGCGCAACAGCAGCTTCATGAGGATCATGAGACTCGGACTCATCCCCCTCCCAGGCGCCACGAGGCTCGGAGTGGAGCTGGCTTGTAGATTGTTGTGCTGCCGCAGGGGAGTTGACGAGCTCGACTGGAGGAATCAGAAACCTGTTGATTGAGTACACGTCACATTCGTGCGATTTTGTCACATGCGTTTTGATCACAGGAACGCTGGACACAAAAAGCCCGCTCCTCGTCTTGTGAAGCCGCAGTGGCGCGCCGAGCAGGGTCCGTCGCAGGCCTTTCCACTCAAACGGGGAGATCATACCGGGTACAAAGTGAAATAGCAGAACCTGACGCAATATTCGGTTGTTCTCGTATGAATGAAGGCCGGCAACAAGAGCTGTGGGAAACGAACGCAACGCGTCGTTGGTCGGCGCGAAAACAGTGAGTGTGGAAGGGCCTTGGAGTCGAAGCTCCCGAAAATCGGCCAGGAGGCCGGAATTTCGCAAGAAACTCGCGAAGGCCGTGTAACCAGTCGCAACTAGCTTCGCAACGAGATCATCCCCGGGTTCTGGCACCCGAGACCTCGTCGCCAGTTCGGGAAGCAAGCGGGCAATCGTAGGTTGTTGCGGCGGTACGACCTTCCTTGCTCCTTTGAAGGAACCTTCCACTGTAACCTCAAAACGATAAATCCTCCCCTTGCCGATGGTAGTACGTTTGGGCGGCCTGACTGTGCCAATTGAGTTAGTGGCGTTAGCTAGCGGCGCAATCACATTATCAAGAAGGACCAGCAGCACGAAGACGGCGAGCAGAGACCGTGCACGGCGGAAATGACAAGTCATGGCGCTTTTGTCGCTCAAATAACGTATTTCGGCGAATGCGGGGGGCTAAACCTCAGCTAAGGTGAACTTTCCTGCAGCTAGGATGAAAATTAGGAAGGTAACCTTCTCATAGTGGCAGTAGCAGGAGGCAGTGTGTAAGATATAAGCACGATGGATATTGGCTACGCCGTGTCCGCAACTCTACGCGCTATTTGTTGAGACTCACAGTTTAGGATTTTCCAAGAGGATTGTGACCGACAGAAGAGGGAAGACTGATTTGAGCGATTGTATGAAGGCATTTGCGGCCAGCATGGAGGTACAGCGGCCAGCACGGGGGCTTTACGTCGATGACAGGATACAGAATTGGCAATACCTCGTTCTGCGCCATCTTTCTTTCAGAGAGACGAAGGAACAATGTTGGTAGGAAGTGGTGAAGGTAAAGGGGGTCTGCTGGTTGGGCTGGGTGCTCGCACTGTTTGGCAGAGGAAGGGACAAATTTTGTTTTCAAGCAGAAACGAGGACTGTGTGCCGTCCATCATAACGCTGTGGTTGGGTGGGAGTTCGGGCAGATGAACTGGGATTGTGATCAAGATCGACATCGGTCAGGCTGTGAAAAATAGTTGAAAGTGACTGCAGGGATGCGGAATTCGTCTCGATGTTGCGAATGTCAACACCGCCAATAATGTTGCGACTCGGCTCCAAGGGCCTGCATCAGCCGCACCCTCACGACCAGCGCGTACGTTTGATTACGGTTGGGTGAGGTGCCTCACGTACCAGAAGGTTCGATCACAAATCTAAAACGGTTGGGTAAGGTTTTGACAACAAAACGTACGCGCTGCTTGCGACCCCAACAAAAAATCGAATTTCCCCCCCAGTGCATGACACCAATAATTGTGCTGGTTTGCTGTCTTCATTTCACACCTACACCTTCAGAAGGTTTGATATACTTGAAGTATGGCACATGCTACTACAAAACAATTAGGAGAATAAAAAACAAAGCACCTCACATTGGAACACTATGAAGTCCCCCCTGACCCTGAAGGGTTTGATCTCCAAGCACCCAGGCTTAACGCATCTGATGCAAGCTCGATTTGAGCAATCTGCTCGTCAAGAGGAATTGCTGCTTCCTTCTCAGCGCTAGATATTTCCGCATCCACCTGATTAGCCGCAACGTTTTCCTCAACTCCAAAACACTCTTGCTTCATGTTATTGAGTTCGGTGTATATCTGGCTCATAGTCGGGCGATTCGCGGTCGGGATAGACGTGCAGGTCAAGGCGAAGCGAGCAATGCGAAGCATGAGATCGTCTGGAATAGGAAAGTCGAGTCGGGGATCCTTGAGACTGTGTGCATCGCGAGCAAGCACATGGTGATCAGCCTGAGAGTGGGGCAACAGGAATCGCAAGTGAGTGAAGATGGCAGCGGGAGTACGGCGAGGGAGAGAGTGTGAATATTGCCAACATAGTTCCACATTTGTACTCGTAAAGCAACTACATCTTTCACACGTTTGTAGATCTTCAAAAAAACTGAATGAAATGCAAAGACTTACCCAGTCCTTGATGTTCGTTTGCAATACACCCGTGCCCATCATTGCCCGCTGCCCAGTCATGACCTCTAAGATCACAATTCCATAGCTGCAAGCACACAGATATCAATGAACCATGCACACAAATATCACACATTTTTCAGGACACAATTCTGCAAAGTTGTATGGGAAAGCATGCACGTTGCAACTTACGCGAAGCACTATGTAGCAGAGATGTCCCATTCGAAAAAAGACAAATCTCACAGCTGTACCTGTAGACATCCGTGGCTGTGGTGGCTCTGCGCGTGCGTGTGTAAGCTGGGTCGACATAGCCCGGCGTGCCAAGGATCCTGGTGGTGCCGACGGAGGTGCCCTCGCCCATGCGCACGAGGCCGAAGTCCGCGACCTTGGCGTGCATGTGGCGGTCCAACAGGATGTTGGCCAGCTTGATGTCGCGATGCACGATGCCAAAGCTGTGCAGGTACTCAAGCCCGTGTGCAGATCCAATCAAGATGTTAAAGCGCTGAGACAGGGTCAGGCACTTGGGCGCCTCTGGTCGTGGGACGAACACATGAAAGGTGGAGGGGGGAAAGGGGGGAGAATGATGTTGGCCAGTTTGATGTCGCGATGCACGACGCCAAAGCTGTGCAGGTAATCCAAGCCGTGCGCCGCAGCCTGCGACTGGCCCATGACTCACCTGGCCCCACCCATGTTTCACCTAGCCCCACCCATATCTCACCTGGCCCCACCCCCGTCTCACCTGGCCCGACCCACGCCTCGAGGTCCCCATTGACCATGTACTCGTAGATAAGGATCTGCTCCGTGCGCTCGTTCACCACATCCATGTCCAGACAGAACCCCAGCAGCCGCACCAGGTTTGGGTGGTGCTTCGACGCCATCTCGTGGATCTGAGGACGTGTGCGGATCGGGAGGGATGTTTCTTTAGACTTTACAAAAGAGAAGAGCCGAGTGAAAAAGGAGCGAAGACAGCAGGGCACCGAGCAAACACATGCATTGGTCAGGACAAGTAGGAGGCTCACCTCTCTCTTGAAGTCGTTGGTGAGCACTTTGGCTCTCTTCACCGCCCAAGTGATCGTGGGATCCATGGGGTCCAACGCTCGGTACACGTCCGCATACCCGCCGCTGCCAATCCTCCGGGACTCTGAGAAATTCTCCGTGACCTGCTTGATCAGCTGCAGAGGGTACTGGTGGCACAGCAGGGGGGTGTCCGATGTGCCGCCCACAATTATTGAGTGTATGTGGTTGCCTGACCCTGCTCCTGCTCCTGGTCCTGCGGCGGCCATGGCTCCTGCTGCTGCAGCTGCTGCTGCTGACTCTTGGTCGTAGGGAGGGTTGTGGAGTTTGCTGCTTGAAGGTGCATCTTCAGCTGAGTTAAATACCGAGACGAGGAGGAACCAGGGGAAGGGGGTCAAGGAGAAGATAGAAGGGGGTTAGAGAAGGAAGAAGCTTGAAGCAATATACATTTGCTACAGTGAAGTTATTATGGTTATTTCAGATGTTACCTTGGTATCTATCTGTCTATAAAGAGTCTTTCACTTTGGAATGGATTAAGGTGTACCTTTCTGTCGTTTCTTAGAGAGCCACAGGAATGAAGTGAGCACGACAGCAACAGTGAAGCAGAGGAGAACGATGCCGCCAGAAGCAATGCCAACGATGACTCCCGTTGACATAGTGGCTGTAGCGAAGGTGACACAAACGAGTATCCCACGCAGCACAATGATCACACAGGTGGCAGAACAGAAATGAGATCCCGCGTGGCAATGCCTCGTGGCTCCCGTTTACAGAGTGGTTTTGACGAAGGTGGCTAGTTGAAATCAAGGCCGAATCGGAGAGGGAACTAGAAATGGTAAGGGTCTGGAGGTGAAAATAGTAAAGACTTCTCAAGGGTGAGTTGATGCATGCATGGTACTAGCAGCGCCAGACATGCATGGTACTAGCAGCGCCAGACATGCATGGTACTAGCAGCGCCAGACACTCAGGAGCAAGCGTAAGGTACATGGAGGCCCACTCACAGGGGGACGATGAGGGCGATGAGGGCGATGAGGAGGATGACGTGTTAGGCGCAGCAGGCGGGGGGGAAGGCGGCGTAGGTGTAGGAGGCGGAACGGACGGCTCCACGGGGGGTTCAGGGGGGACTCAGAGCCCTGGGCGAAGGCGGAGAGGCGCAGATTGGCGGACAGCATCTGCTCCAGCAGCGCCGACCGCCGCGCCGCCTCTCCGCCTCCTTCTCCTCCACCTCCGCCGTTCCCCCAATCCGCCGCGTCCTCTTTCAGCGCGCGTCGCACGTCCGTTGCTCCCCCGTCCCCCATGTCGCCCGCGGCGGCCGCGCTGGCGCCCTGAGACAGCTCGGAACCGGCTGAGTCATAGCCAACCACAGGCGGCACCTGCGGTTCGCTGGAGACATTCTCTCGCGGATCAGTATCGTCGAAGACAGCATCTCGAAACGTGTCCCGCCGAACGCCGTGCTTCGAGAGAATCGGCGCGCTTCTTCTCTCAGCAGGCTCGATTGTTGAACCTCTTTCCTTCCTTCGATTAGTAACCACAGCCGGCGGCGTCGGAAGAAGAAGGCTGGATATCGTATGAACGTCGTACTTGCTCGTTTTAATCGCGTTCACTTTCGTTACAGCCACATTGGCGACGAAGAAATTGTCCGAGCCCACTCGCAGCTCCACGGTGTACCAAGAAATGTTTCCTCCGAGCCGGTCCACTCAAACGGAGACACTTTAGCGGGGAGAAAGTGAAACATAAGAATATTGCGTAGCGCCTCGCGGTTATCGGAGTTCTGTAGACCAGCGAGCGTAGCAGGGGAGAGCGAGAGGAGCGCATCGTTAGTAGGCGCGAAGACTGTTAACAGGGATGAATCGTGCAGCTGAGGAACGTCTTCCAAGAGTCCCGACCTTTCTATCAAATGCGCGAATCCCGTGAGCCCGTCAGAAATTAGTCGAGCTGCTAGATTTTCGACTTCAACAGGAGAATCGTCGACGTCAGAAAGGTCAGCTGGAATCGCGGCGCCATTCACGGTCAAATCTGCGGGAGAGTCGTATTGGGTCGATGATTCTGGGTGGGTACTACGGATACTTCCAGGAAACCGTCCTGTCGCCGACACGCCTGCCACGATACACGTGGCGAACAAAGCGAGAAACGGATGGAGAAACCTCATGGGCTGACTCCGAGTCGTTTGTGGAAGCTAAGGAGCTCTCCGCACAAAACGAGAGGCTGAATGCGTCGACTGAAGCCAGTTCTTGAGCACGGATTACGCTTGAAAACCACGATATGAGAATTGCAAGAATATAAGCAGCAGTGAGCAGAGAGGCGCGTCAATCTTGTCTAACAACGCGGAAATGCGCTGAATGTGGTGATGCTAGTGGGAGTAATTTTGCTTTTGAATTTGCTTTCTGCGGCTCTGTTCTCGCTCTTGTGCTGTTGAGAATCGAGAATCGAGAATCAGGTTCGTGAGTGCCGTGCCTGCCTGGATCCGGGGTCCTCGGGGTCATACCGTCTCAAATCACATCTTGCCAGTCAGCGCCAAGCCTCAACGCAGCCTCCAAACGAAAATGACGAGCCTAAGCGCCAGGTTTCCCCCCATACCAGTTTTGGCCACCACTTCCACCGACCAGGGTGATGTGTCAGATTCTGAGCGCCGGACCTCCTGTTTTGGCTCTATGATTTGCTGAAAACTGGCTCGCTGTTACAGTTTCACCAGAGCTTTGTCGAACGTAAGGGCGCGAGTCCGCTGCTGAGTTGTGGTGTGGTTTCTCTCCGTCCTCGCCGTTTGGTCGAGAATTCACACCTGGGATTTCACCAGGCCGGTAGAAAGTCAAAGCGTCATGCTTGGCGCAGCTTTGAGCGTTGTGCGTTGTGCATGTTGTTGACTGGATAGGCATCGCTGCTTTTGACATCGTGCGACCCCATGAGAAACATGTTTGCCCAGAATGCCAGCACGGAACATTACGCGTACGATGTGGGGCTGATGGGTTTGGTTGCAGATTGGAGACGATATAACAATTTTTGTACTTCTATGGTCATATACGGTAGGACAACCAGATAATAAGACCTCTAGACACAAGGGGATAGATGCCAAAGGTGCGTTAGCATGACCTCTTTTGGTGCTCCAACTATAATGGATTTTTTTAGGTCTGGGCACACAAATAATGTGTATGGTCGTTCTATTCGATGTTGCTGTGCTGACCTACACCTACAGTTATAGCAGTACCTTCTGGAAAGGGGAAAAGGCACCCTACACCTTACTCGTACTTGCTATTTCAAACCATGTACCAGGAAAGCAACCTATTTCTAAGTACCACTAGTCCCTCCTGACCTTGATGGATTTGACCTCCACCCACCCATGCTAAAAGCATCTGATGCAAGCTCGTCAATTTGAGCAATCTGCTCGTCAAGAGGAATAGCCGCTTCTCCTGCAGCACTCGATATTTCCGCATCCACCTTATTAGCTGCCACGTTTTCCTCAACCCCAAAACACTCCTGCTTCATATTCTTTAGTTCCGTGTATATCTGGCTCATAGTCGGGCGATTGGCGGTGGGGATGGAAGTGCATGTCAAGGCGAATTTAGCGATGCGTAGCATGAGGTCGTCGGGTATGGGGATGTTGAGTCGGGTGTCCTTGAGACTGTTGGCATCGCGAGCTAGCACGTGGTGATCCGCCTGAGAGGGCGGCAAAGGAATGTGGGAAGGCAGCAACTAATGAGACGCTAACAGCTTCAAGCAAGCACAAGCTGATCGGCCTGGGAAGGGGACGAAAACGGGATGTCAAGAAGTCGGGAGCCACCATGTGCAGGTTGAGGTGAAGAATGGAGAGAGGGCAGACCAGAGGGAAGGTGCAAACAGAGGGAGGCTGGATGTGGTGAACCAACCCAGTGTCATCAAATGAGGTTCCGTTGGTTTATGAGGCTGACCATTTACACAGTATCCACACTCACCCAGTCCTTTATGCTGACTTGCTGCTCGCCCGAGCCAATCATTGCTCGTTGCCCAGTCATGACCTCCAGTAACACAACGCCAAAGCTGCAAGGGAAAGCACCCAAATGAAAGCAAGCACCCAAATGAAAGCAAGCACCCAAATGAAAGCAAGCACCCAAATGAAAGCAAGCACCCAATTTGTCAGGACCCTTGCGAACACATTTGGAGGCACAATAACATACGAGCACCGACGCATACAAGGAGAATCGCACAATGTGGACTACGCTTTGCAGAACATAGCCGAAATTCTGCATCTGACAGCTGGCGCACAACAATCTCTCCCACTGTACCTGTAGACATCGGTAGCCATTGTGGCTCTTCTAGTGCGCAGGTAAGCCCCGTCTACATATCCTGGGGTGTCCAGAATCGTGGTCCAGCCAGCAGAGGTGCCCCATCCGACCCCAACAACCCGCTCCACCATACCTGTAGACATCAGTTGCCGTGGTGGCCCTTCTAGTGCGCGAATACGCCGGGTCGACATAGCCCGGAGTCCCAAGAATTCTGGTGGTGCCGACGGAGGTGCCCTCGCCCATGCGCACGAGGCCGAAGTCCGCCACCTTGGCGTGCATGTGGCGGTCCAGCAGGATGTTGGCCAGCTTGATGTCACGATGCACGATGCCAAAGCTGTGCAGGTACTCCAACCCATGCGCCGCGCCGATCAGGATGTTGAAGCGCTGCGACAGGGTCAGGCACTTGGGCGCCTCTGGGATTGGGCGAATGGAGGGGAAAGAAAGGGAGGGGAAGGAATGGAAGTGTGGAAGGGAGAGGGGGGAGGGTGATGAGAATGCAGATATCCATGTACATATCCTGATGATGAGGATGCAGCCATCCATGTACACGTATCCTCCAGCTATCATGCTCACCTGGCCCGACCCACTTCTCAAGGTCCCCGTTGACCATGTACTCGTAGATGAGGATCTGCTCCGTGCGCTCGTTCACCACATCCATGTCCAGACAGAACCCCAGCAGCCGCACCAGGTTCGGGTGGTGCTTCGACGCCATCTCGTGGATCTGGGGACGTGTGCAGGTTGGGTGGGTCATTCTTTAGATAAATTCTTAGATAAAAGCGGCATGAAAGAGTAAGGGTGGTGCTTCGACGACATCTCGTGGACCTGGGGATGGTGGGGTGGGGGGGAGGGGAGGAGAAGAGAGAAAAGGGGCAAAGGCGCATTGTCAATCACGCACCAGGTTCGGGTGGTACTTTGACGCCATATCGCTGATTTAGGGAATGCCGCAAGGGGGAGAAAGGGGATATGCGGTGTAAGGGGGAGAAAGGGGGGAAAAGGGAGTGGGAGGGGGAGGAGAATAGGGACCTCCATGTCAAGACAGAAAGAGTGGATCACATATGGTTGCAAACCTCTGTTAAAAGTGACAGAAACACGCTTTGAACTTAATGGGTGCGCACCTTTCACTTCAAGTCGTTGGTGAGCACCGTGGCCCGCTCCACCACCCAGGCGATCGCAGGCAATTGTGGGGTCCAAAGCCCCGCTGACAAACACAGCTGTCTTTCCAACGACACCTCACCTCTCTTTTGAAGTCATTCGTGAGCACCTTGGCCCGCTTCACCGCCCACGGGATCGTGGGGTCCATGGGGTCCAAGGCGCGGTACACGTCCGAGTACCCGCCGCTGCCAATCCTGCGCGTCTCGGAGAAGTCCTCCGTGACCTGCTTGATCAGCGGCAGGGGGTATTGCTGGCACATCAGGGGCGTGCCTGACGACCCGCCCACGATCATCGGCTGGATCTGGTTGCCTGACCCTGCTCCTGCTCCTGCGGCGGCCATGGCGCCTGCTGCTGCTGCTGCAGCGGCTGCTGCTGACTCGTGGTCGTAGTAGGGGTTGGCGTATTTGGTGCTTGGAGGGGCCTCCTCAGCTGACAGCCAGAGAGCAAAGAAAAAAGAAGCAATGTGGGATTGGCTGCAGTGAATTAGGTGGTAGTATGAAAAGGCAAAAATACGTCACAGTACCTTCTGTCGGTTAATTTTAAGAGGAACTACAGTACAAAGAGTACGGATAGGAAGTGTACCTTTCGGTCGCTTCCTAACGAGGCACAGGAAGACGGCGAGAACGCCTGCGACAGTGGCGCACAGGAGCGCAATGCCGCCCACAGCAATGCCGATGATGGCCCCCGTCGACAGCGTGGCTGCTTGCGCGTTCGGCGTGTTAGGCACAGCAGGCGGGGGGGAAGGCGTGGGGGTGGGGGGGCTGGGGGGCGAAGCGGACGGTTCGACTGGGGGTTCAGGGGGGGACTCAGAGGCCTGCGCGAAGGCGGAGGGGTGCAGATTGGCGGACAGCATCTGCTCCAGTAGCGCCGACCGCCGCGCTGCATCGCCCCCTTCCGCTCCCCCTCCCGCTCCGCCACCTGCCCCAGCACCTCCCCCGCCCTCCCCGCCGCCTCCCCCGCTCCCCCTATCCGCTGTCGGCGCTTTCCCCCGTGGAGCCACGTCCGCCACGTCATCTTCCAGCGCGCCCTCGTACTTCTCGCTCCCACCCTCAGATGGCTCGAAGCTTTTGCTCCCCCGCCAGCCGTTCCGTTTGAAACCGCCCAAACCGCCCGAACCTCCCGAACCGCCATCCGCAAAAGGAACACGCCGCGAATTGTGGACAACCGCTTGCGGACTGTCAACGGCAGGATCTCGAAACGTGTCCCGCCGAACGCCGTGCCGCGAGAGAACCGGCGCGCTTTTCCTCTCAGCAGGCTCGGCAACTGCCGAACCTCTCTCCCCGCCTCGGCTGCTACTAACCATAGTCGTCGGCGGGAGAAGAAGGCTCGATATCGTATGAACGTCGTACTTGTTCGTTTTAATCGCGTTCGCTTTCGATACAGCCACATTGGCGACGAAGAAACTATCTGATCCCATTCGCAACTCCACGGGTGTACCCAGAAGGGTCTCCTCCGAACCATTCCACTCAAACGGAGACAGCTTAACGGGGATAAAGTGAAACATGAGAATTCTGCGTAATGTCTCGTGGTTATCGAAGGACTGTAGACTGGCAAGCGCGGCAGGGGACAGCGAGAGGAGCGCTTCGTTAGAAGGCGCGAAGACTGTTAACGGGGATGAATCGTGCAGCCGAGGAAGATCTTCTAGAAGACCCGACTCTCTAACCAAATGCGCGAAGCCCGTGAACCCGTACGCCGTCAGTCGCGCCGCTAGGTTCTCGACTTCTACAGGAGTATCGTCGGCGTTTAAAAGGTCAGCGAAACCCTCGGCGCCATCCACGGCGTAATTTACGGGACTGTCGTGGACCGGATCCTCTGCAAGTGATTGCGTAGATAACGCGCGTTGGGTCAACGATTCTGAGGAAGTATGGATGTTTCCAGGAAACCGCCCCGTCGCCGCCACGCCAGCGACGATCCACGTGGCGAGCAAAGCAAGAAATGGCGGGTGGCACCTCATCATGAAGTTAATCGCCTGGCTGGTTTGGAGATGCGAGGAGCTTTTCCCAAACCAGCGGCGAAATATCTTCCTACCAGCGGGGATGTATCGGCTATAAGCCAAATCAAGAACCAGGAGTGGATGTAGGAGCTATGCGGTACGGACAAGTGAAAGGAACCGGGGGAGCGCTTGAGAGAAAGCGCGCCGTCGGTTTAATCTTGACACGTTTTGCCGGCCCGCGTTCGGGGTTGGAGCTAAGATTCTGGGCGAGCTGCCATGTCTGCTTCTGCCCTTGTGCTGCGCCTAGTTCGGACAGGTGTTCATGCTTGTGTCTGAGAGGGCACTGGGCACCTGGTGCCTTCCATTACATTACAGTACCAGATGTGTACAGCGCGTACGCTTTTTATCAAAACCATACCCAACCGTTTTAGATTCGTTATTCATCCTTTTGATACGTGAGGAACCTCACCCAACCGCAATCAGACGTACACGCTGGACACGCCCTAAGGAAGGCCACTGAACCATGTGTAGTACCAGCTGTGCTCGCGGTCATCGCTCGTCGGATCAGGCGAAGGCTCGTTTCTTGGCCTAAAGCAGGCTCGGGACAGGCGAGCCCAGGGGCAAGGTTCTTACCCACCGACCATTCGACCGAGGCGGCGTTGTGGCCGTGCCTGGGCTCGGGGCCTTCTGCCGTAGCTGTATGATTGGCTGATATTTGGCTCGTGTCTCGGCTTCCCCCACAGCTTTGCCCAACGTCAGGGCGCAAGACCCTCTCGCTTGGTTCTCGTGCTCGCCGATTGGCCCAGATGCCTCCGCAACAAATGTGGAGGCTTCGAAAGTCAAAGCGTCGTGGGCTGTTGCCGTGTTGACTGGCCGGCGGTGTCGCGTTTGATGTCGCGCGACTCCATGTGACAGCGGGACAACCATAACCTCCAGCCCTGAACTTTACATGATTGGGTTTGGGCGAGCGGGCATGTACGCGATAGTACAGATATAATGAACAGTTTCAAGTGCCCCCTTGATGACAGGTGTTATGATATTGCTACTAGGGAATGTGCAACTCAGAGAATGTTTGAGCAAAAGCCAAGCATAATCCACACATTTGTGGGATGGTCTTGTATTCTTCCACCACGCATATTGCAGATATCGGCCACTATTGAGTTGATTTGAAAAAAAAAAAGGAAGAATGTCCTCTTTGGATTAGGAATCGATTTATTGCTACCACTCGATCCGTTTATGATGGTTGTAAGGAATTTCCATTCCTTACTGAGTCGTACGCTAGCGCGTACACCCGACTTCCTAGACTCGTCACGTTCGGCCTCAATTATCGGCCCAACCCTCTCCCGAGTCGCGTCCGGCACTGTCGCTACATTGCCGAACATACCCATGTTCTGAGGTTATCGCCCTAGTACGCCAACTCCTATATAACCTCGTGCCCTCATTGCAATAGCGACGTTGTATTCTCACGTTATAGTACATTGACACTTCCTGTTTCATAACACATGGTGTCAGAGCCCGAACTTTCCAGGAACCTTCCGTTTTCCCGTTAAGTTAGTTAAGGGTGGTCAAGGGGGATTAACACGGTTGCACAACAGTTGTCTTTGATCTTAAATATTTTTACGTCAACACTTACAGCGTGTGCGCTAGTTTCTGCCCCGTCCTGACCGCCATGGCCTCGGTAGACTCGACAGTTGAGGAACAGACGACCTCGACTGCTGCGAACTCTGCCCGGGAAACAGTGGACGTGCAAGCGTTAATGGAGCAGTTGAATAATTTGACAAGCTTCGTCAACAACCTCCGCGACGAGAACCAACGACTTCGCCAGGCGCAAGAAAGGCGTTCAGAGGAGCCGGTTGACGGTGCACGAAGCGAGGCGGGTGAGTAGCAACCGTCGCCAGTGGAGCTGGCGCGACTAGCGGCAACAGCCCCGCGCTCGACAAGTGGCGGCGTGAGATATCGGCAACCCGCTCCTTTCGATCCGGCTAATAAAGGAATGACGGTGCGGCAGTAGATATTCGCCATGAATATATATTTCAACGCTTCGGGCATCCGAGATGATCAGAAACAGATCAACCATGCATTGACATTGCTGCAAGGGGCCGCCTACAGTGGTGGAAGGTCATCGTCGACTCAGCGGCAACTCGCACAGAAGGACAGCATGAGTGGTCCGAGGAATTCGGCGACGAAGACGAGGCAAATTTGCTGTATGGTGCAACCCACATTCGCACGTGGGCAACGTGGTGCGCACAACTTCGCAAGCGGTTTGAGCACGCTCCTGACTCAGACAAAGCGCGCGAGACTCTACGCATGTGGAAGCAGCTGGGATCTTTGTCCGAATACACCGCATCATTCTTGACGTTGGTGGATCAATGTGGCTACATGCACGAGTTGTAGAAGGTTGACAGGTACATGGGCGGGCTGAAGCCTGAAATACAGTACCAAATAAAACTGCAACGCCCTGCGAAGCGGTTACAAGACTTTATCCAGCTCGCCGAAGCCGCTGATTCGCTCACAAAGCCGAGGGCGAACTTCTACGACGGAGGTCGCTCTCGAGAACAGTACCAGCGCGCCACGATTCAAGGGATAGACGCAGTGGATATCTACGCAGTTGCTCCGCGAATACGGGGCTATGCTATCACTGTGGCCGACCGGGTCACATCCGACGCAACTGCCCAGAAATCGTAGCCACTCTGAATTCTATGGGGAAGAAGCCGGAGGAGCAACCGGGAAATGGGTCGCGTCAGTAAGTACCGGACCCCTTACTGACGGGCAAGCTTCTTCGCCCGAGCCATACAGTCCCCACTGGGTCGTGATCCCGATTGCTGCAATCGACCGGACCCGGACGAATAAGGGGGATGAAACTGCTGATCACCCTGTGTTGGTGGGGGGTAAAGTCAACGGGGTGTTGCTGAAAATATTCGTGGATGGAGGCGCGAGTCACAGTCTCATATAGCCGGACAGGGCTAAAAAATTGGGTCTTCCCCTACTTAAGTGTCTACCCGAAATTGACGCCCGCCTAGTGGATGGAACACCGCTGGCCATACGGGAACGAGTGGAGAACATCGGTTTCCACTGCGGGGAGCACATAAAATTTTGGATGGGGCTGCTGGCGACTACACTCGACGGATGCGACGTGCTCCTAGGAAGGGATTGGCTGCGACAGTACAACCCGAAGATTGACTGGACGACGGGCGGCTGCAACATCAAACTCGACGGGATTCATCGCACACTCCCGAAATGGACGGGGCCTCGCATGCGAAGCACCCAACTCCATGCGATAACTTTCAAACACACGATAAAAGCGGGAGCTGCAGCGTATGCCGTCGATTTTCACGAGGTGACGCCGCCAATAACAGTCAAAGATATTGCGAAGCTGTGCGATGCCGTTCCTCCGGATTTAGCGGACCTGATTCGGAAGTATCCCGAAATTTTCCTGGACGACCTGCCTGCTGGATTGCCGCCGAGCCGATCAGAAGACCATCGCATCCAGCTGGAACCAGGTGCCCAACTGACAGTACAGCGACAGTTTCGGCTCAGCCAACCGAAACTGGAGGAGCTGCAGCAGCAACTGGATTATCTTCTCACGAAGGGTTTTATTTGGCCCAGCACGTCCCCATACGCCGCCCCGATCCTGTTCACCCCGAAAAAAGATGGAGGATTCCGCATGTGCATCGACTACCGCGCCCTCAACAGGATCACAATCAAGTCCCGTTACCCGATCCCGCGAGCTGACGATCTACTCGACCAACTTCGCAGAGCGAAGTTCTTCTCGAAAATCGATTTGCGAGGGGGTTACCATCAAATTCGAGTCGATGCCGAAGATTGTCACAAAACCGCCTTCCGAACCCGCTACGGCAGTTACGAATACCTGGTGATGCTATTTGGACTAACGAACGCGCCCTCGACATTCCAGATAACCATGAACGGTGTTTTCCGTAAACTCTTGGATAAATGCGTAATCATCTACCTCCACGACATCCTAATCTACAGCCGCAGAAGGGAGCAACACTTAAAAGGATCTTGATGCAGTCTTCACGCTGCTGCACAAGAATCGCCTCATCACGAAAGGGTCTAAGCGCGACTTTCTTAAGCAGGAGTTGGAGTTTTTGGGACACGTCGTATCTACCGAAGGAGTGAAAATCGACCTCAAGAAAATCAAGACAATCCAGGAATGGAAGCCGCCGACCAACCTCAAGGAACTGCAGAGTTTTCTCGGTTTCGTCAACTACGTCCGCCGCTTTATACCCAATATGGCTGGGTTATCTGCCCCACTAACCAACCGATTGAAGGATCACGATTGTTTTTGGTTGGGAGAGAAGCAGCAAGTTGCGTTTGACCAACTGAAGATCGCCCTCACGTCGCCGCCCGTCCTTCGCATCTCCGATCCTGACCATCCATACGAAGTCATCACCGACGCAGCGACATCGCCATCGGTGCAATTCTCATACAGGATTTCGGTGACGGGTTACAGCCTGTCGCCTACGAATCACGGAAGCTGCAGGGCGCAAAGAAAAATTATACAGTCCACGACAAGGAAATGTTGGCGATCGTCCACGCGTTCAAGACCTGGCGGTGCTACATGACAGGCGCTGACGTCACGGTGCGAACGGACCACAAATCCTTACAGTACCTGCGAGCTCAACCGAATCTCAACCCGCGACAGATGCGATGGCTCGATTTCCTCGAGTCGAATTTCCATTACACAATCACCTATAAACGAGGCGCCAACTATATCGCCGATGCCTTGACCCGACCTATTTCCCATACCGCAGCCATACTAATCACCCAGACCAGCTCATTACTTACCGGCCTATTTAACAACGGCTACAAGATCGACCCTTTCTTCCGCTCTGCTATTCATCAACAGCACACCATCGCCGCTGGACACTATTTTAATAAGCGCGATACTTCCCGCATTTGGGTACCCGGCTACGATTTACTTCGTACCCTTTTAATACAGGAATCCCACGACAACCCTACTTCCGGACATTTCGGAGTCGACAAAACTACGAAGACGTTGCATCGCAACTACTATTGGCCGAACATGGCTGACGACGTGCGCAAGTACGTGTCCTCCTGCACCGCCTGCCAGATCATGAAATCTTCTCATCAGCGAGCAGCCGGACTACTGCAGCCGTTGGATCCGCCCGAGCGACCCTGGCAACATATTACGATGGACTACGGGACAGGAATGCCAACCGGTCCCAGCGGAAACGATGCCATCCTCGTGGTCGTCGATCGACTCACGAAAATGGCGCACTTCATCGCTTGTCAACAGACAATCACAGCCGAGCAAACTGCTCAACTGTTCATCGCCAACTTCATTCGAGTGCACGGACTACCCACCGCCATTATTTCTGACCGCGACCCGAAATTCACATCCAATTTCTGGCGCCACCTGTGGGACCAGTTCGGCACCAAACTACAGTTTTCCTCTGCCTACCACCCACAGACCGACGGGCAGACCGAACGAGTCAACCAAACTATGGAGCAGCTCATTCGGACTACCTGTACTGACCCACAGACATGGGAGAAATCCCTTCCGCTGCTGGAGTTCGCGTATAACAATGCGCCATCCGCGACAACGCAGCAGTCCTCGTTTTTCCTAAATTACGGACAGGACCTGGTGGTACCCTCTACCCCGAATATCGAGACCCTTGTGCCCTGGTCCCAGAAATTTGCTGAAGACATTCTCGCCGCCTGAGAAAAAGCAGCCGAGGCCATCCGGAAAGCCAACCTGGTCGCAAGCCGACAAGCCGATCGCCATCAACGTGACGTCACTTACAAAGTGGGAGATCTCGTCCTCCTCGACACTCGCAATTTGCGGCTGCCGATCCCGAACAAACTCCGCCCTTGATTCTGCGGACCCTTTCAAGTGACGAATATGGTGACACCTGTCACTGCTCACCTCCGACTCCCGACTGATTGGCGTCACCACCCGGCGTTCCACGTCAGCCTCTTACGGCCCTACATCCCCAGTTCGTCAGACTTTGGCGCGCCAACGCGCTGTACTGCAGCTGACGCCTTTGCAGGAACCGACAACCGAGCCTTTGAAAATTCTGGGCCATCGAGTCACGACGCAGCTGAACCGTCGGATGGTTGATTTTCTCGTCCGCTGGCGCGATCGCACGTCCGAAGACGACAGCTGGGTGCCGCTCGCTGAACTAGAATCACATCCGATTCTAACAGCGTATTATCATCGTCGGAATGTTTCCGATGCCCGCGGTCTCATTTAGGCGGGGGGGGGGGTAGTGTAAGGAATTTCCATTCCTTACTGAGTCGTACACTAGCGCGTACACCCGACTTCCTTGACTCGTCACGTTCGGCCTCAATTATCGGCCCAACCCTCTCCCGAGTCGCGTCCGGCACTGTCGTCACATTGCCGAACCTACCCACGTTCCGAGGTTATCGCCCTAGTACGCCAACTCCTATATAACCTCGTGCCCTTATTGCAATAGCGACGTTGTGTTCTCACGTTTTAGTAGATTGACACTTCCTATTTCATAACACTGGCGAATGCCTTTTCGGACAGGTCCAGCCTCGATTTCCGTGCTCCTCACGCTTTCTTGTACCTGAATTCATTATTCAGGTTCAAAATTTTCACAGGTGCTTTTGTCATCAAGCAGCCTCACCTTGCATTACAATACCTCCATTTGCGTTTCTTCCAGTCTGAGGCTATGCCACTCACTGTTGTCAGGGTACAAAAAGATATCGACTCTCGTAGTCCTGCATAGGATACGTACCAAAACCGGTCCAACGCGTAGCAATTCCGTCCTCGAATGTTCCGGATCCAAGGGGGTCATATCCCTCAGGACCCGTACCAAAACCGGTTTGTTCTCGAGCGTGCGTGACTCGAAACAGCCAGGAAAAATCGAATAAATGTTGCTTTATTACCGCAAATGAGCTTTCACCTCGGCTGTGCTTCTCGTTTCCGTGTGCTTCTGTTGTTCAGGTCTAGACTGGTCCTGGTCCTCTCTACTACAGCGTGCTTGTATGCGCTTGTGAAATTGACCATGCTACTGTGACCTTCAGTGTAGATTTTCGTGTCCGAGAATCGTAGTGTGCCGTAATCTGCTTCTAGTCCGAAAGCAGCATAGGCGGCAGGTGCGATCATGGGTTCGAATGCTGCGTTTCTGATTCCGGGAATTCCTGACGACGCTGCGCTCATGTGCTTCGCGATGCTGCCGCGTGGGTGCTATGGCGTCCTAAAGTGCGTCAGTCGCCGCTGGAAGGCGGCTCTAGGAGACGAGCACGTGTACAGGTGAGCATGTGTACAGGTGAGCATGTGTTCAGGTGAGCACGTGTACAGGTGAGCATGTGTACAGGTGAGCATGTGTACAGGTGAGCATGTGTACAGGTGAGCATGTGTACAGGTGAGCATGTGTACAGGTGAGCATGTGTACAGGTGAGCACGTGTACAGGTGAGCACGTGTTCAGGTGAGCACGTGTACAGGTGAGCACGTGTACAGGTGAGCACGTCTACAGGTGAGCACGTGTTCAGGTGAGCACGTGTTCAGGTGAGCATGTGTACAGGTGGGCATGTGTACAGGTGAGCATGTGTACAGGTGAGCATGTGTACAGGTGAGCATGTGTACAGGTGAGCATGTGTACAGGTGAGCATGTGTGCAGGTGAGCATGTGTACAGGTGAGCATGTGTGCAGGTGAGCATGTGTACAGGTGAGCACGTGTCTGGTGAGCATGTGTACAGGTGAGTACAGTTTCAGCTTGAACTGCTGTCAGCCATGCAAGGTTACAATCTTGACTTGCCCACTAATACCGTCTCTCCTTTTTTTTTTCATTCTGCATGCGCAGTTTGAGAGAACAACTAGGCCACAAAGAAAGCTGGGTGTACGTCAATGTTTTCCACCACCCTCCACCTTCCACCACCACCATTAATTCCTCCTCATCCGCCTCCTCTTCGTTTCGGGGAGGCCAGCCACCCAGCCGCATTCGTGTGGACTCACTCTATGCCTTCTCCCCAAGTGAGCTTTTCCATATTCCTTGTCACTCGTTTGTCTCAATAAGCAACTTCAGCTGCTTTTTTCTTTCGATCCACATCTTGAGGCCAGTCACGTCCCATCTCGTATAAAGCAAAATAAAAATGTGAGCAGTTAAATTGATGCTTTGAATTAGTACATTCCCTACCACTCCCCACTCACTCATCCCCCACTTTCCCCATCATTCCCCATCCACCCTTCACCCCCCAATTGAATCTTTCCCGTTCCATCACTATTCTCGCCTTCCAGTCCTCCACCAATGGTTTTGTTTAAGCGAAACCACCTCGTCCCGCTCGTCACGCCGCATCAAGATGGTGGCAGTGAAGCACAAGCAGTATATTTTCGGAGATGACTTCATTATCCGTGATGCCATCACTGGCGCCTGCACACCTGGACCCCAGTTGCCGTCTGACACTTACCTCAGCGTCCAGCTGGCGGCTTCTGATTCGCACGTCGTTCTTGTCAGCGCCACGCCACAGGTTATTGTCCCGCTCCCCTCCCATGACATCGCCTGATCTGCAATGAATGACACTGGGTGAAATTGTATGACTTCGCCATGGATTAACATTGCATGCCATTGCAATGTACATCGTCTAAAATTTCGTGTCACCTCTGCTTTACATATCTTCAGGCATTTGCCTGTCCGATCGCCTCTCAATCCTGCTTTCGCTACCCATGCTGCTCTTTCTAAATCTCCCTTCCTTCCTTCTCCCCCTCTCTCCACCTTGGCTGCCCTGGCAGGTCGTTTTTGGAGATCCTGATAGCCCTGGAGATGTCATTGTGCATGTGCTGGCGGTGAGTGCTGACGTCATTGTGGATCTCCATATGCACCCGCTGGCGGACAGAGCGATGGCGTGACTATGCAATCGTGCATGCATTGATGTGCATGCGCTTGTACAACCATACTGTCACAAGCATGTTCTTCTGAACTGCCGAGTTCTTTCTTTTCTCCATCCTCCCACCCAACTCCTCCCGCCACCCTCTCACGTCTCTCATTGGTTTTCTCAGGTGGATGAAGCGGGCATGCCACAGGGAGAGTGGCAGAGACTGCTTCCACGCAGGTGGACAGGGTAAGCCAAGCTACCCTTACAGTCTTGCCTGTCAGCTGACTGGTTTTTTGTAGGGATCATGCTTGTCTTGTTGTTTGTTGTTGATATGAGTGTACCTTGTTGACTGTTGTTGAAACCCTCATCCGGTTTCGTACAAAACAATTCCTCCCTTGTTCTGCCCGCCTCAGCCTTGTCTCTCTGCTTGCTCACGAGGGAGGCCTCTGGCACCTGATTGGTCGATGGGCGCAGGGCACACAGGGTAGAGGAGGTGGGGGAGGGGGCCGGGGGAGGGGACGAGGAAGGAGGGGAAGCGAGAGGCTGCGGTACAGATGGGACCGCCAGATGGCATCGTTTGACCCGCGCACTCTGCAATGGATACAAGAGGACGAGGAGGAAGAGGAGGAGGGTGAGGGTGATGATGATCCTTTGTTTGGGCAAGGAATGATGCATGGAGACATGGATGCAGCTGCTCCTTTTGGTGGTGGTGACAATAATGAAAGTGACTCTACCCATGCAGTGGAAATCGACTATGGGGAAGGGCCGGGGGGGTGTCACAAGCAGCTGCTGCTGCAAGCGGCTTCAGCCTGTGAGGTGCTGAGGCACAGGCAGCAGACTCTGGGGCCAGACTTGCTGGCGCTGCAAGGGGAGGACTTGCAGTGGGAGATGAGGGGCTTGTTGACACGTGGACCTCAGCCATTGGTTGCTGATGGCCAGGGACGCGAGCAGGGGGGAAGAGGTGGAGAGAAGGGGAAGGCGAAGGAGGGTGTGTTGATTAATGAAGAGAATGTGGTGAGGGTGATGGCATCGGGAGGAACAGGGTTGTTCAGCATTATTGGGGACCAAATGATGATTGTTCCTGTAGCTGCCAATGGTGAGTACTTGACCGGGCCTGGTGATTGTGTAAGTGAAAAGCTTGCGACTGATGCTACGAGTGCTCAAAGTGTTTCGAGCAGGAAGGGAGGCATGTTGTGCTTGCTGCGAAGGGGGAGGGACATGGTTGTTTGGGAAAACGGTTTAAGTCGTGTTCTTGAAGCCCCAATTCTTTGGGGTGATCAGATTCCAGGTGGTGCTTTTGTTATGAGCATATGAAAATAATGTATCTTGCACATTGCTAATATTGGGATACATTGGTGATTTAGAGCGTGGAGCCTGTAATAATTTGACAAGGTGTTGCAGGAGATAGTGTGTAGAATCTGCAAACACAAACACTTGAAAAACCTCGAGTGTTGGCCTAGGATCTTTACTGGAATGGTAGACTAGTAAGACAACGGAAGTCTTGTAAGTGTGAACCTGAGTAAATAGTTATGTGGAAGTCAAGTCTCAGGTTCTCAAAGTTGAAATCTCAAGGTTAATAATAGAAAGACGTAACAAGGATTTATAGCTCTAGGAAAGTACCTATTCGCTAATGTACCTGTTCGTCACTATCGCGCTATGCGCCCTAGATGATAACGAAGGGATGCGACTGTTCGCGTGACTGAAACGACTGTCGTATGACGAGCGCTATTTGCTGACGTCATCCTGCGGACTTATCTTCTACAGTAGGATTCGACACTATCTATCGATAAACGACTAACAGAAATGCTAAGTATGAATTATACCACAACACTCCCCTTCATTTATGGAAGTTCGATAGTGTCACTTCTTGAAGATCCCGCAAAGCTTGTTACAGTACTGAAACTTTTGTCGTGTCAGCTTCTTTGTGAGGAAGTCGGCAGCCATTTCGTTGGTCGAACAATAGACAAATCGCATTCTCCCCTTCTCGACTTCATCATTGACGAAAAAGTAACGCAGCGAAATATGTTTCGTCCTGTTGACGAAACCAGGCTGGTGCGCGATGCGAATTGCACTTTGGTTGTCGCACTGTAGAGTAAACTGAGTACTCGTCGTCAACTTCGCTTCTTCCAAGAGTTCCTGTAGGTAAAGTCCTTCGCGTGTTGCTGTGCAGACAGCGATAAACTCAGCTTCAGCAGAGGAGAGAGCAATCAGCTCCTGCTTCGTCGAATTCCAAGAAATAGGCCCGATAGGTTCAAGGCGGTAGATAAATCCAGTACGCGATCGTCGATTAGTAGAGTCAGCAGCGTGATCGGCGTCGACAAAACCGTGTAGGTATAGTGTTTTACAACCGATGACGTTTTAGACTAAACCGGCGTCTGGTGTCGATATAAAGTACTGAAGCGCGCGGAGAATTTCGAGTTGATGCTCCTCTTCAGGATGGCGTAGGAACTGAGCGAGTTGACTAGCAGCGTAGGCTAGATCTGGACGGCAAGTAACGGCGGCGAAGAGTAAAAAGCCTAACTGCTGTTGATAAACCTGTAAACCGGTCAGACTCAATGGTGCAGTATTCGGTTTGTGATCTGTCGGTAGTGAGCGGTACGGTGTTAAGACTGTAGTAGGAGTAAGGTTGAAGCGAGCAGCGAGTGTGGCTACGTACTTTGAAGCGGTGAGGTGAATAGGCGTCGGTGAGCAGGTAACGTTTAGACCGAGAAACTATGAGACTGTTTCGGAGACGGTAAGCTGTAGATTTTTCTGTAGTTTCAGTATGAAGGTATCGGCGAGCGAGTCAGTAGTACTGACGTAAAGGAGATCATCGTCATAGGCGACAAGTAAAATATAGTTGCTGCCGTCAGTTAGAAGATACATCCCCTGATCATGCGGCAGTTGTCGAAATCCAGCAGTGATGAGCTGTGAGTGAAGATACTGCTGCCAGAGCCAGGGTGCCTGTTTAATGCCGTAAAGCGACTTTCTGAGACGGCATACGCTCGGTGGGTTAGTGGTATACGAATGCGGGTACTCTACCAGAATGAGTGCATCGACGGGTGCGTAGAGAAAAGCGTTTGACACGTCGATTTGTCGAAGTCGTAGATTGCGGCAGGCGGCGACACAGAGCAGAATTCGAACGCTCGTATGTCGACCGACGAGAGCAAAAGTCAGCTCGTAGTCAATGCCGTAAGTCTGCTCGAACCCGCGCATGACCCATCGCGCATTGAATTTCTCAAACGACCCATCTGCATTAGTCTTGACACGGAAGACCCATTTTCCGGTAAGCACCTTTCTCCCTTTTATTTCTGATGACGGTATTAACTCCCATGTGCCGCGATTCTTGAGAGCTGCTAGCTCTCTGTCCATGGCTTCGTGCCATTTTTCGCGGTGAGGACTCGTAAGAGCTTGTCGAACAGTTTTAGGTTCAGGTATCTTACTGTCGTTGTACTGTACTGCGACTGCGAATCCAAGTATCTGTAAGCCGGTTTCTGTAAAACGCGGACGTTCTTCGTTTGCACCTGCGAAATTTTCTTCTGCTCCTTCTTCCCCCCCAATTTCGTCAGGTGAAACACGAACTGCTTCGTTGGAGACGACGAGCATCGGCTGCTGTTGACGGTCGCGTTCGTAACTGAGGTGAACTTCGTGAACGTCATATGGGTCAGCATCTGCGAGAGGAATACATTTCGGGATGCCAGTCGATGTGACAGGTTCGGGAATATCCGTTGCGGTAGCTTCGGAGGCTACAGATACTGCTTCGTCCTGTACAACAACTTCGGCTTCGTCAGTTGCAAGTGCACGCGAGCCTTCGAATAGCCTAGCGGGGTTTGCAGCTGCTGCTTGGTGGGCACGAAAAACTGGCAAGGTGAGTCTTTCATAGAAGAGACAATCACGTGAAGGGACGATTTGGTTTGAACGAAGATCCAAAATCTTCCATGCGTGATACTATTTTTCGATGCCGAGGTGTACCCCCCATTTTGCCCGTTCAGAAAATATGCCGAGTGCTGCAGTTGGAGGACGAAACTATACAACACACCAAAAAACTCGTAAAAGTTTGGTACTTCCCACTATTCGTGTCCACTGCAGGTGCGGAGAAGAAAATTCGGGCAATGGCGTAGAAGACACTAGGTTGTGTGACAGCACGGCATGGTCCATCGCATATGGCCAAAAGCGAGGAGGAAGAGCTGCCTGCGTCAGCAAAGCACACATCTTCTCTTGCAGAGTCCTATTCATCCGTTCTGCTACCCCCATCTGTTGGTGTGCATGCGGCAGTGACTGCTTCCGTTTGATGCCGAGGGTTTGGAGGTAGTCTGTGAAGGTGTTGCTCGTGTATTCCTCTGCGCCATCTCTCTGGAATTCTTGCAGTTTCACACCAGACTCTCGTTCAGCGACAGCAAGCCATGCGACGAAGACGGAATGAGCAAGATAACGAGCAGGAAGGTTGGCTGTCCAAACGTAGCGAGTAGATGCTTCGATGAAGGTAATCACATACTGCTCCTCTTTAGGTCCTGCTTCACGTAAGTGAAGAATATCGCTGTAGACTTTCTGCATCAGTTTATAACGTATGGAGCCAGGAAAATGACTCGGAAATGGATCGTGGGTAAGATTGGCGACCGGACACGTGGTGCAAACCGTCGGACGAGACTGCGGCTTCATCTCCTTGTCGTCAGGTAAAAGTAGACTGTTTTTATCAAGAACTGCTGCTCGGATTCAATGATTTAAAATCCCTTGCGACGGATGCCCTAACCGCTGATGCCAAATCTCTCCTGTGGCTTTGTGTCCTGATGATCGCAGATAAAAGTCGGCGTTAGTATAAAACGAAGAAACAATGAAAGGAGAAAGAGCGGGCGACATGTCAATGTCCCCTTCGACGAAACGGGTAAGCGGTAACTGAACGTTTGAGGGTTTTGCTGCAGTTTCGATTGCAACCTCTGAGGCTGCTTCTGTTGATGTGTGAGCAGACGGTCCTGCGACGGCTACTGGAAGATTCGGCTGTTCGGCGACTTCTTCTTTCACGGCTTCTTCGGCCACTGCGGGTTCATCAGCGGCAAGGCCGCTAATTTCGCCCCAAAGTGGAGCTGGAGTTCGTTGGAAGGCCGCGCGGGTATTAAAAAACGTTCGCCACGCGTTGGCGCTTTTATCGGCGGTATCGAACTCCCAAGTATCCAATGCGGTAAGAACGGCTTCTGCAGTTTGAGAAGCTGTTCGTACAGTGACTACCCGAAAATCAATATCCACGTGCTGATAATCTGTTTCTTCCGGGTGATCCCAGGGACCAAGTGCAAGGACGCGTTCAGAATCACCAGAAGTGCCTTGTGCCGTGAACTGAAGAACTGATACTCCATGTTGAGTAGCGGCACGACCGAGGTAAGTATTCGTTAAGCTGTGCCATAACTCCTGATCCATTGTGTCACAATTGCCTTGTGTGCGAATTTTGTGTGCCAGGAGTTGAGCTGTGGAGAGAAGATTGAAGCCAAGTCCGGCAATAATGAGGAAGTTGGTAACGTGTAATGAATATCCCGTGTCGACTGATTCGAGCATGACACTTCCAATAGACCTTGCCATAATGGTTTGTCCGTTTGCGACTGTGACAGGTATTGGGCGGCGAAGCGGACCCTGGTTGGTGATGAAGCTTGTTTCAGTGGAGCACATGGGCCAACCGCAACAGCTGTCAAGATACCAGGTACTGGGTCCTGAAATGACTCGAGCAAGGTTAGCATAAACTTGCGATAAGGGAATGCCTTCAGCACTCGTGGTTTCTTCAAGTCGGGTCTCGAAATCAGTTTCTGAAACATCAAATGTTGTAACACATCCAAAAACTCCTTTTTCTGATGTTGCAGATGCAAAAACCGGAGGTCAATGCTGTTACGACGGTGTGTTCTGCGGTGGTTTCGGCATCTGCTGTGCTGGGGACGTTGAGTGTTGCATTGGTTGATGTGGCTTTGGTAACTGCTGCGAACGATGATATGGTTGTGAAGTGCTGCGACGGTTTTGATGGCGGCTGCGACAAGTTTGGTAAGTATGTCCTGGTTTCTTGCAGAAATGACAGAAGGGATACTTCGGGGGAAGTCGTTGGTGCGATTCTGGATTCGAGCAAAAACTCAAGTGTATTCCCTTTTTCTGATTGCGTTGTGACTGCAGGTCCAGATCTTGCTGTTCTGCTTCGGAGAGATTCGGATTCATGCGCAGGAAGGCGCGCGTCTGTCGCCATTCGGGTCCAAGGCCAGCAAGGAGGACCGTGAGATACATCTCACGAGGGAAGTATCCCTCACTCTTCTCCAGTTGATCACGTAGTGTACGGACACGATTGACGTAATCCATGCCGTTCTCGTTTGTCATCATCTGCACACTTGTCAGTTGCGAAAGAATCTTACTCATTGTTATCGTATCTTTTGTCTTGTACACCCCCTTTAAGTGGTTCCATGTAGTTTCTGCTGGCGTAAAGTTGGAATGAAAAGATCGGACGCCAAGCTGCTCCTTTGGTGATAAGTTCCGAACAAGAACCGTATACGGCCCGAGAGAGGCGTGCAAGAAACTCTGCTGCTCGAGTTGTGTTCCCGTAACAGGATATGTGAATTCGCCGGTGAAGAATAGCCAAAGCCCAGCGGACTGCGCCAGAAGCTCGAATTCGAAGCTCCACGAGTAAAAATCAACTCTGTTGAAAGGTATAGTAGTCTTGATCAGCGTGCTGGTAAGTAGATTTGGCGGTTGAAAAATAACGCCCTGTTGTTGAGGTTGTTGCTGTTGTTGAAATTGCTGTGGATGTTGCTGCTGTTGCTGTTGTTGCTGAGGTTGTTGTTGATACTACTGTGATTGTTGCTGAGCAAGTGAACGCCCGAAGATGAAGAAGGGATGCTGCTGCTGCGACTGTGGCTGCTGCGCAAAAGGTGAGAAGGCAAATGAGCCAGAACTTGGAGCTGTAGCTCCACGCATATAACTTGAGCCGTCAAGACTCATTCCACTAAACGCTGAAGATATTGATTGAGTTGAAAACTGTGGTTGTGCTGTTGCTTGCTGTTGAGCTGTTGTCTGATGTTGTAGTTTTGCCTGTGTTAGTTGTTGTTGCGCTGCAAGGGCAGTTGATGACATCCCTGGAGTACTGACAAAAGGCGGATTCTGCTGCATGCCGATGTGTGCATAAGCCGGTGGAAACGGTCTAGAGGCTGAGAGACCATTGGCGGTCGCGGAGACAGGTACTCCAGTAGTTCCGGAAGTAGATCCGGTAGATTGAGCTGGTGTTGATCCAGTCATTTTGACAGTAGTCTAAATTCCAGACAGCTCTCATACCATGTAGTAATTTGACAAGGTGTTGCAGGAGACTAAGTGTAGAATCTGCAAACACAAACACTTGGAAAACCTCAAGTGTTGGCCTAAGATCTTTACTAGAATGGTAGACTAGTAAGACAGCGGAAGTCTTGTAAGTGTGAACCTGAGTAAATAGTTCTGTGGAAGCCAAGTCTCTGGTTCTCAAAGTTGAAATCTCAAGGTTAATAATAAAAAGACACAACAAGGATTTATAGCTCTAGGAAAGTACCTATTCCCTAAAATACCTGTTCGTCACTATCGCGCTATGCGCCCTAGATGATAACGAAGAGATGCGACTATTCGCGTGACTGAAACGACTGTCCTATGACGAGCGCTATTTGCTGACGTCATCCTACGGACTTATCTTCTACAGTAGGATTCGACACTATCTATCGATAAACGACTTATATCATAACAGCAGCCGATGCCCGTCGTCTCCAACGAAGCAGTTCGTATTACACCTGACAAAATTGGGGGGGAAGAAGGAGCAGAAGAAATTTTCGCAGGTGCAAACGAAGAACGTCCGCGTTTTACACAAACCGGCTTACAGATACTTGGATTCGCAGTACAGTACAACGACAGTAAGATACCTGAACCGAAAACTGTTCGACAAGCTCTTACGAATCCTCACCGCGAAAAATGGCACGAAGCCATGGACAGAGAGCTAGCAGCTCTCAAGAATCGCGGCACATGGGAGTTAATACCAACATCAGAAGTAAAAGGGAGAAAGGTACTTACCGGAAAGTGGGTCTTCCGTGTCAAGACTAATGCAGATGGGTCGTTTGAGAAATTCAAGGTGCGATGGGTCATCCGCGGGTTCGAGCAGACTTACGGCATTGACTACGAGCTGACTTTTTCTCCCGTCGGTCGACATACGAGCGTTCGAATTCTGCTCTGTGTCGCCGCCTGCCGCAATCTACGACTTCGACAAATCGACGTGTCAAACGCTTTTCTCTACGCACCCGTCGACGCACTCATTCTGGTAGAGTATGAAGTATGTTGTGCTTGCTGCGAAGGGGGAGGGACATGGTTGTTTGGGAAAGCGGTTTAAGTCGTGTTCTTGAAGCCCCAATTCTTTGGGGTGATCAGATTCCAGGTGGTGCTTTTGTTATGAGCATATGAAAATAATGTATCTTGCACATTGCTAGTATTGGGATACATTGGTGATTTAGGGCGTGGAGCCTACGGTTGTGGTTTCGCTTTGGGTTGCACAATCCGACATGGTTACAGTTTTCGTGGATATCGTTAAGGTTTTTTTGCGAAAAATGGACACGGGTTGCGCAACCCACCTCCAGCCCGGTTTCGAAATTCACTTCGGCAACCCAAACCGAAACCCACGTCCGCGCGAACCAAAGAAGCCACCACTTGGTCGAAATCCAAATCTAGGTCTGACGAACGCGCATGCCTTTCGAAAATCCAATCCTTTTCACCGTTACGAACTGGGTGAAATGCTCCTGAGTTTCTTATTTCTCATGATTTTTCAATTTGCGAAATTTGAAACAACCGCAATCCAATGTTCCACGTGTGCTGGGGTTTCCCGATAGGTTGCGCAATCCCATGTTCCAGTTGCGTTGCGGGGTCACGGTTTGTGGGTTGCGCAACTGGCAGCGCAACTCACAGATGCGCAAGTGTTAAGAATTATAACCCAGAGTATAGCGCAGAATACTATAGGGGAACGTGATTACAGAATTGTCTAGAATAATGAGGCCTAGGCAATATATAGGGCGAGTTGACCAGGTTGAATGTCGAGGGTTGGACTAGTCAAGGGCTCGATAGTCCCGAGGGTGACAGGGTCAAAATGGGTTTGGGGCGACTCGGGATCAGGTTGGGGCCGAAAAGGTCGACGGGGGCTGGTTTGGCGCGAGAACCAAGGGCCGAGCCTGCGGAACCGAGAGGTTCGCGTGTACTCGCTGTGGCGAGCCCCAGTAAGGAATCGTAATTCCTTACAGCAACCCTAGGATACACGCCTTTAGTACATCCAGAAAAGTGTACTTCCCTCCCTCAGGGCCTTCCCGCGCGTACGTTTCTCGCTTTCAATTTAAGAGAGGGCTCTGGAATTTCTCCTCAACAGTTAGGCCCTCACGAGACCCATGCCTCGCAACTCGCGCTCTATACATTCTCGGAATGCTATAGCGATGGCGTGATCAGTTTTCTTCGAGTTCTCTTGAGGCAAAAGAGGTACGGTGACACCGTTTCATTGTCCTATTTGAAGTAACCAGTGTACTGTATTTATCATCGAAGCATGAAGGCATAACCCTTATCATTGCATCATGATTGTTATTGCAGTGCGGATGTTTTCGAAAAGCTGTTGACGTCAATGCAGCGGACCTCGGAAGACGCTTCAGGAATAGTATTTTAAAGACGGGAGCGGAACAGACTGTGCGAACGTAAGTTCTGAGTTGGCTTACAAGTCACCTCGGTAACTCAAAAAGCGGAGCAGACTGTACGGCGGACGTGATGAATCCGAACGCCGGGAAGAAGGCATCGGAAAAAGCGGACTCACCTCAATCCGCTCGGAGGAGACTCTGCGGATGACGCTTTGTGTCATCTGAATGCAGAATGTCTAATTCTGGGGATTCTGGACAATGCCGCGTCGATGTGCTTGGCGATGCTACCACGTGGCTGCCATGGCGTGTTGAAGTCCGTCAGTCGCCGCTGGAAGGCAGCTTTAGACAACGGGCATGTGTACAGATACGCAAGTAGTTTAGTTGGGCCTGGTTTGTGCACAGGCGAGGAATCATTCATGCTTTCAGGTTAGGTTAGTGCGTTGCTTTCTCAGGCTGCTCAAGGGAACCAGCTACAGTTTAACTTGATACTTATCAGTTTGAAGAACGGTGGAGGGGGAAGCCCCTCTTACAAGAAACTCATTCAAGCTAAGAGAACAAATTGGACGCTCCCCCTTCCACTGCTGCTTCCTCCTCTCACCACTCCTCTGCCTCCCTGGACTCTTCGCGCACGTCTTCAGGCCGTGTTCTTTCACTCTATGCCTTCTCCCCAAGTTAGTCTCTGTGTTGTGCTGGATGTAGAGAGGTCCTCTCACTCGTCTGCTTCTCTTCCACCAACCTCTAATTCTTTACAAACAATGTCACTTTCTACTTGTCACCTCACCAGACCTGAACCCGGATATTTTTCCCCACCAGTCACGACTACTTCGACTGCTGCACCGCTCAGAGACCTACGGATCCTAGCGTGATTCTAATAGTGCAAGGATGCACTGTCAACCGTGCTATGTTACCCTAAGTTTCGTGGCAGATACGCAATTTTTCGCCACTCTGCTCGTAATTTTTACCTACAACGGTGCGATGAAGACGATCCATGATAAGACGAGACCAATCGACTAATGGCATCTTTGGCCACACCTCAGCATGGCTAGTCTTAGAGATAACATTCAACATGAAATCGTGCACAGTACTCTTGCATACGTTCAAATACTTAGCGATTTTCCTAGTGCTCACCCCGTTATGCAAAAGCGTGGGTCCAGGAAGAGTGCGAGAAGATCCCTGTAAAGGTTTGCACTAACCTCGTAGATAACATGCCTAGGAGGGTGTAGGTGGTGATCAAGGCCAAGTGTGGTTTGGCTAGGTACTAGTTTTGCTAGTAACTAGTTTGCTGCTTGTCCTCGGTACAAATTGTCCGGATGTGCTCTTATTAAATGTTGTCATCTTGAAGGACCATGAAATATACTACTCTGGTTTTAGGAGATTTGAGTGAGTGCTCTAACTGCTCCTCTCTACGTGTATGGCCACCATGAATTAAGGCTTAATGCTTATAGCGTACAGCTCGTCAAAATGTGAAAATATGCAAAACATGTGGACAACTGTTTCCGCCACTGTATGTGATCATCAGTGCTGTCGCGTGAACCTCTATAATTGGGTTACAAAGTTTCAAGGGACAGCGCGAGAGGTTATAAGGGAAGTAATAAGGTTAGGGTGAGGTCAGTTGAGCAGCTGGCGGATCGGCTCGGACACTTCAGCAGAAGGGATGGCTAGGCTGGAGAGGGGCATGCAGCACGCATGGAAGGGAGGGTTGGCAGGAATCACGGTGCTGCCACCGAAGGAGAAAACCCCGCAATGGCGCGCGGCGGATTCAGCTGGGAGGGAAGGGTCAGGCACAGGAGAGCATCCGCTAGGAAGAATAGCACAAAGCCGTAGCATTCACACCTCTGTAGCTACTCTGTTTGTTCTCTCATCTTAGTGGGAAAGCCTGTATGCTTGTTTCCTAGTGGATTCTTTCCTGAGCAAATGCTAGATCCCTGAGGAGAGGCCAGACAGAGGGTGGCGGGAATTGGGTAGCTTGGCTGTCCAATCTCGGAGCTTTCATTAGAGCAAGGAAAGTCGGAGGTCATCACGTACAAGCGAAGACAAGGGAAACCAGTTAAGGAGCCGGGATAGAGGCCCGAGAGGAGAGACGCCGGAGGACGGGGATGGTGTGCGACAGTGCACACATGGGCAAAACTTCTTCCATTGGGGCTCTTCAGCCCAATTTTTTCACCCCCTCTCCTCCCCACCCTAGAGGTGTTGTTCTTGTCGCCCATGAGTGTGGTCTCTGGCACCTGATTGGTGCAATGGACTATCTCTTGCTAATGATGGGTGAAGACAGGAGATGCAGTGTTAGGAGCCTAATTGGTCACCTGGTTCGTCGAGGGGGAGAGAGAAAGCGAAGAGGAGAGGCGAGGTTACAGTACAGATGGGATCGCGAAATGGCATCATTTGACCCGTGCACTCTACAATGGGTAGAGGATGAGGTAGGGGTAGTGGGGGAGTTGGATGATGAGGAAGAGGAGGCCGGGGAGGAGGAAGATGAGGAGGCAGAGGAGTAGGAGGCGATACTGGGAGTGATTTTGGGGATGAGTGTGACGATGATGGCGACACTTCCTTCGGAGATGGTATGGTGCATGCAAACATGGATGCAAAGGCAGCACCATGCGAGCGGCTGCAAACGGGAAGGCAGGTGTGCTGATAAATGAAGAGAACGTTATGAGGGTAATGGGCTGGGGACGAACAGGGCTGTTCAAGATCGACGTAGATTCAACAATGTTTGTTCCTGTCACTGTTGGTGGTGGGTGGTTGATGGGACCTGACGGAGAGGGAGAGGCAGCTGCTGTTGCCGATGCACTGGGCATTGGTAGAAGCTTCTTGTGCACGATGGCACAAGAGAGGCATATGCTTGTCTGGGAGACTGGCTCGAGTTCAATGAGTAGTTTTAAAGCGAGAGGCTATAATAGTGACCCTCCTTTCTAGTTGGGCCCAACTAGAAACGGCCCAACAGTGAATATGTTTTTGGAGGGGCGGGCAACAGCCCGCGTTCTTTACCAAGCCATAGGCCACGAAATTGAATTGCGCTTGTGACATTTCACCGGCGACAGATTTTACGACCACTGATTTGCGCAGTTAGCATTTCGACCAATCGGGGCCCAGCCTCGGTTTTCCTCGAGTAGTTAACCCGGGTTCAACTTGAAATTGAAGTTGAGCCCACTTGAAATTCAAGTTGGGCCCACTTGGTGCAGCTTACAGGCAGTAAGGGCTGGGCGACAGGTGGCGCGCTCCTTGCGATTTTGCCCGAGCCTTTTTCCCCACCGTATGTCATGTGTTTCCCGCCAACCAATCAGCCAAACTGCATCTTCTCGCCCAGTTTCCCCTGCTCGCATTTCTCGACAGCGTACCCTCTGCCCCGTCGCAGTTTTGTCCCTTGGTCGCAAAAACGGACGTGTGGGCCCTTTCAAGTTGGACCCGCCTTCACTATTTTCATCACTTGCTTTAAAGTGCTATGGGGTCATCTTCAATACCCTTCTAACATATTTGTTATGAGTATGTGATCTAATAAGTCATTTTTGCCTCGTGTTAGTGTTGGATGCTCTTGAGTTCAACTCCATTTTGTGACATGTCCCTTCATACCAGTACCGTTGCCTTCTATGCATTCTAGCATTCGTATCACACCTTCTGTTGGTAATGTTGATCTTGTAGCCTTCTCACTTCTCTATGTGTTGAGCCATCCTGAATCAAGCCCCTAATCCATACAGTACGTTTTACACCCCTACATCCTTATGCACCCACACTAGAATGACATGAATTGTCCAATTCCACATATTTGTAGTAAAAGTATTTGATTTGATGTCCTACTTCCATGTTCTATATAGCTTACAAAAGCGAGCTACAACAGCTTCGCCTTGCCCGTCGTCTGTCGCAAAGCTGTTTATGTCACGTATTGGAGAAGCGTATAATCACGTAACAGCAGTCAACCCCTGGTTGCGAGACCTCTGGGCCGTGGGCGGCAGCTCCCCCCAGCACATGGCGCTGCGACCACCACAGCGACAAGTGCCCAACGTGACGTAGATGGAACTGTTCCGGTTCAATGAGCCGCCTGGCCAATCAAAGAAGCTAGGTCAACTTCAACCTGAGGATGATCCGCCAAGCTTCGTGCTGTGGGGCCTGCCAACTGTACGTACGCATGATTGAATCGCAATGCTGTGTCAAGCCCACTGCCCAAGCCTCCTGGCAAGTGTGGTCGAGATTAGGTGAAAGCCCCGGCTGGAGCAATGACCGGCGAGTTATGCTGGGGCGTAGTTTTTAGAGCAGTTCTCAGTAGTTAGTGGTTAGGCCCTCAGCGCTGCCGATAACGTTTCTTGTAGAAAAGCGGAACGTCGCTCCTTTTTTTTTTCTTTTTCTTTTTTTTTGTGGTTCATGAAAAACAGGGCTTTGTTGGCTCAGCCACCGCAGGCTACTAGTTGCTCCGATCGCTGATGTCGTTGAAGCCGCGCGCGTAGGATAGCGGTTCAAGCATATAGAACTACTATCACGGTTGAATGCTTTTCGTAACACAGGGGGCCCTAAGGCGACGGGGTGGTTGTGCTCTCCAACCTCAGCAGGTGTTGCTGCTCACGTCCCTCCCTTACCTGTCAGCGGAAGTCCTTGGGGTTTCAGCAATTGACCTCTTAGCTTGCTCAAAACGAGGAGCGGTAAAATTGAATCGACGTCGCGGTGCAATCATGATGCGGGAAGACGACGATGAGCTCGAGGTGTCCTTCCCCCCAGAACGTCCCTCCAATGACCGCTCGGCCTCACCACCTCGCTGGGTCTCAGAGTGCGAAATTGAGGAGCCGGAAATCTCTAGGGGATTCCAACACCTAGGTATGCACTCGTGGAGTGACAATAATGCATTCTCGTGAAGTGACAATTATGCACCTTTTTTAGGATTCATGTTTTCGTGTCTTCTTTCTTCAGCTTCCATTTTCGTCATTCTGTATGTGACAGGGTGAGTATTCCTCATGACATGCGCTTTCTCCCTTTCCCCTGATGTCCGTGACGTGATGATTGCAGAGGTCGATTCGCCCAGGAGCCGTCCTGCCTTGTCACTCTCCACCCTAGTCGTCCCCAATCGGCATATGCAGTTGACTCAGGTCATGTCCACTCTTGAGCTCCCAGCGTTCATACAAGGCGCTCTGAGCCTGGTCAGAGTCTCAGAGCATTTCACTGGCTGGATCTTTTCAATCACACGGAATTGCCGGCAAGCTGCCAATGTCCTCATGGCAGTTTGGGGCACAGACCTGTTCTTCTCAAGGACACGTATTGCTATCTGAGCTCTCTCCAAGTCCAAGGTACCTGGCCTGGGTTTAACGTTGGTGCCTAAGCACCATTCCCCTGCTTCCAATCAGCGAGGCGTTATGTTTAAAAGCTCTGGAGTGTCCACACGGCAAACGTGAAGAGAAAAGCAGGTTCTTCAACAGAATGCTTTGAGAGTGCAGACGGCTGGTGAAACATGTGGGTTTGGTGGTGATGCTGCTGGTCATGCTGTGCACATGGCCCTGCGATGTACATAAATGGAGCAAGAACCTTGTTTTTGTTCGTCTATCTTGTCACTGCTTTTCTCATCTGCCTTCCCTCTGGTTCAGAATCCCCTGTGACCACTTTCACTTAGCCGATTTTGGTTGACTTCAGAAATCGTGGGAGGGTTTTGGTAGCTTCTAGAAGAAGATTTACGGTATGGCTTTTCTGTTGTCCTCCAGTACCAAAGCATTAGTGTACCCTACTTGAAAGTTTTCCTGGTGGAAGGGTCCAATCCAAGTTGCCTTGCAGGCATCACTCGAACACCTTTTTCGCTGAAGCCAGCGGAGATGCCGTCACCATTTGTACGAACACCGTGCGGTAACCAGATGGGAGAATTGGTCTGAGAAGCCGGCAGTAGTTCCACCCTCGTTCGCAGATATTCGCAGACGCCAGGCACCCTTGTCTGACAGTCAGGTTCAGAATCAACAGACAGCCAGGATAGCCTCGAGACCGTCAGACAGAGTCCAGCAAGCAATACTGGACTGTTTCCCAACTGATCCCAACTCCGGATACATTGTTTCCGATTCCTTGCATCAGCTTGTCAAGGCAATGTCTGTTGGGAACTGGTGTGCTCAGAGTCTGTAGTTACCTATTCCGAAACAGCTACTTGTTTTCCTTGGTCTTTAGAAGGTCTCGCGAGGAAAGGGCCGTCTTTCTCGCGAGCTTTCCTCTTCGAGCATCTTGCGTAATGGATTTTTTACGCAGACAGTAGCGTCTGAGTTGAAGATTATTGCGACCTTCATCCGTTCGCGTCCCGCGAGATAGTTTCTCAGCAATAGCCTGCTGCATCCTCTGTAGAGCCTCGGTTTCTACTGACTCTGTTGCCATGTACAGTAACTTTAAGGAGCAAGGGATCGAGTATGCGAAGCAGGCTGTATTGGAGGATACAGCTGGCAACTATGCCAAGGCCTTGCCTCTCTACATGAACGCGCTCGAGTATTTTAAGACCCACCTGAAGTACGAGAAGAACCCGAAGATTAAAGAAGCCATTCAGGCCAAGTTTGTCGAATACCTAGATCGAGCCGAGCAGATTAAGGAGGTATTGGAAGGAGCACCGCAGAACGGAGCGCCGGGAGACGCGGCGTCTGCGATCAAGCCGAAGGCGAAGAAGGGCGGAGCCGGTGGGGGGGATGACGATGACGCCGCGAAGCTTCGATCGGGATTGAATTCGGCCATTGTGCGAGAGAAGCCAAACATCAAGTGGTCTGACGTGGCAGGGCTGGAAGGCGCGAAGCAGGCTCTGCAGGAGGCGGTCATTCTGCCGGTCAAGTTCCCCCAGTTCTTCACAGGTGAGTGAGTGCCAACAGGGGTTCTGAATCTGGTGTTAGAGAATCATTATTGAGTCGACTCAAAAGTCATCAGGGCTGGAAGGCGCGACGCAGACGCTGCAGGAAGCGGTCATCCTGCCGGTCAAATTCCCGCAGTTCTTCACAGGCGAGAAACAGGCATTGGGGTTCCCTAGTCTGGTGTCTGAAAATTCTCAAATTCCCGAAGTATTTCACAGGTGAGTGATTGGCAATATGTGACGTTTGAGTCGAATCAAAACCGTTGCAGGAAGCGGTCATCCTGCCGGTCAAGTTCCCGCAGTAGGATTCCCTTATCTGAAAAATCACCGAGCCTATTTTTATTGTTCTCCATGTGTGCATGCCAGGCATAGAGAGTGCTCCTGGAGAGCGTTTCTCCCATACGGCACTTCAGACATGAGGGTTCCTTATTGCTGATGAAACACTTGACCTATAACCATGCTTATCCTTGACACCATGCGTATCAGTGTCTCTATCCAAGGCAAGAGGCAGCCATGGAGGGCGTTCCTGCTGTACGGCCCTCCAGACATTAGGGCTCCCGGCTCCTTACTCCACTTGAATCACTTATTTCCGTGCTCATCTCCGTGTTTCTGTACGCCAGGCAAGAGGCGGCCATGGAGAGCGTTCCTGCTGTACGGGCCTCCTGGCACGGGCAAGTCGTACCTCGCCAAGGCCGTCGCCACGGAGGCGGATTCCACCTTCTTCAGGTGGGTCTTGAGTTCCCTAAAAGTCATTCCAAGTCGCCTCAAAAGCCACTGTAAGTCGCTTCAAAAGCCCTCCCGGCATGGGCAAGTCTTACCTCGCCAAGGCCGTCGCCACAGAGGCGGAACCCACCTTCTTCAGGTTGGTTCCGGGGGCTGATTGAATAGTCCTCTCGTGCTTCGCTTCGATTCAAGGTTGATCCTTACCCTCCCTATCCCAGTGCACCCATGTCTCCATCCTCCATTCCCTCACCCCTGACACTCCCCTCCAACCCCCCTTCCCGCTCCCCCCTCTCGTCCCAGCATCTCTTCTTCGAATCTGAATTCCTAGTGGATGGGCGAGAGCGAGAAGCTGGTGGCTTGAAGCATCGCTAACCACATCCTCAACGTCTCTCCTCACAACTTTCCCCCTTTCCCACTCTCCCTCCTCATCTGCAGCATCATTTCGTCCTCGGACCTGGTGTCCAAGTGGATGGGCGAGAGCGAGAAGCTGGTGGCGAACCTCTTTCAGATGGCGCGGGAGAGCGCGCCGTCCATCATCCACCTTCCTCCATGGCATTCCTCCCACCCCCCCCCACCTCCCTGATGCCCGATTCTCCTCCCCCAGCCTCTCCCCCTCTTTCCCGCTCCCCCCTTTCCCCCATGCCCTTCTCTTCTCCCCCCCTGCCATTTTTCCCTTTTGAGCAGCATTTCGTCGTCCGACCTGGTGTCCAAGTGGATGGGCGAGAGCGAGAAGCTGGTGGCGAACCTCTTTCAGATGGCACGGGAGAGCGCGCCGTCCATCATCTTCATCGACGAGATCGACTCGCTGTGCGGGCAGAGGGGTGAGGGTAACGAAAGTGAAGCATCACGGCGTATCAAGACGGAGTTCCTGGTTCAGATGCAGGTAAGCAATGAGGCTGGTGTTTTGGTTGACAGTCAAGTAGGGCACGCCGTCCATCATCTTAATACATGAGATTGACTCGCTGTGCGATTAGAGGGGCGAGGGCAACGAGAGCGAGGCGTTGAGACGCATCAAGACGGGGTTTTTGGTTCTGAAGCAGGTCAGGGAGTCTCTGAGGTGGTTGACCCTGGTAATGTAGACTTTGAGGTGTTGGTAACCAGGTATGGGGAGAGAGCGCTCTGTCCATAATCTACATCGACGGGATCGACTCGCTGGTCCAGATGCAGGTTTTGAAGTGGTTGGCTGGTTGGGGAGGAGGGAGGGAGGGAGGAGGGGGGGAGGGGGTGGTGGGGATCATCAGAACAGCTTAGAGAATTGCGAGAGCGAGTCTTAAAGTTCCAAGTAGGGCTAATTTTTCTGCCTGGGGGTGTGCCTTTCTTCCCGCCAATTCTGTCCGTCTTCTCTTCTGCTCCCATTTCCGTGTCCCTCCCTTCCCGTCTGCCCCGCTCCTCATACCAGGGCGTGGGCAACGAGGACAACAAAGTACTGGTTCTTGCTGCCACCAACACGCCTTACTCGCTCGACCAGGTGCGCAACGCGGGCCTGCCTGCTTCTCTTCGCCACTGCTGACTGCACTCCATTCTCCACACCCTTTTTTGCCATTCGTCTGCGTGCTAAGCTTGCAACTGCCAACAACAATCCTTTTACTGGGCCTCGTCCCAGCCTTTGCATACTTTTTACGTGGAGAGTAGTAATGGTAATGCTGCCACCCCCGCTGTTTGCCTGCCAGGCTGTGCGCCGGCGCTTTGACAAGCGCATCTACATCCCACTACCAGATGTGAAGGCGCGGCAGCACATGTTCAAGGTGAGAGGTTAGATATGGTGTTGGAGGAAGCTCAGACCGCAGCATATGCTCTTGGTGAGAGGTGGAAGTGCAGGGCCTTGGTGTGAGAAAGGCAGGAGGGTGGGAAGGAATTCGACCAGCGCATCTACATCCCACTACCAGATGTGAAGGCCAGGCAGCACATGTTCCAGGGGAGAGAGGTAGGCATGATTGTCTGCAATAGCTGGATTCGAAGCACGCCACATGATATAGGGTTATGGCACAAGAAGAGCAGGGCCTTGGTGCGAGAAGCTAAGGGGAAACGCAGGAGGGTGGAATGAAGGGATGTGACATGCTTTCGAAAGCGGCTGTGAGCAGCAGACTCACAAGTCGCTTCCTCCCTTCCATCTTCTCCTTGTCCCACATAGGTGCATCTGGGAGACACGCCTTACAGTTTGTCTGAGAGGGATTTCGAGGAGCTGGCGCAGAAGACAGATGGATTCTCGGGGTCCGATATTGCTGTCTGTGTAAGCTCTTCCCACCATCTGAGTGCTGGGTTAGGTTACTTAATGGTGGTGCCGTTGGTGCTGCGTCACATGCCAGCTCCTGCTGTTCAGCCTCACATTGCCAGCTTGCACATCTGTTTTGTTGTCCTCTGCTGTGTTCGTCCTATTGACTGGAAACCTTCTGCTGATCGATCATTTCTCTTCTCCTTATGTGCTTTCACCTCCTGGTGTTACTTCCCTTTGCCTTGTGTGTCTCGCCAGGTGAAGGATGTACTTTTTGAGCCGGTCCGGAAGACACAGGATGCCATGCACTTTAAGAAGGTGCGAGGCACATAATGCATGGCATCCTACGCACATGCCATGCGGCCCTTGAGAGCCTGGTACCATTCAGACCACCATGCATTTTACCTCGTGCCAGGTGGTCACGAACGGGGACATGTGCTACGTGTGGTGTGGCCCCGGGAAGCACCATGGTTTTCACCTCTCCCTCTCTCTTTCTCCTCTCCCTGTGTGCCTCCCTCTCCTCTCTTCTCTCTCCCTCCCGCCTCGCCAGGTGTCCAAGGACGGGGACATGTGCTACATGCCGTGTGGCCCCAGGGAGGCAGGCGCTATTCAGACCACGATGGAGGAGCTGGCAGCGCAGGGGCTGGGAGAGAAGGTGAGAAACCGAGGGGACTAGGGTGAGTGAGACGAAGGGTGCACGGTGAGAGGATGGTCTAGGTTCGGGAAGGAGGGGATACCAGGTGATGGGAACCAGGCGCCATTCAGACCACGATGGAGGAGCTTGCAGTGGGGCGGCTGGGAGAAAACGGTGGGGGCGGGGAAGGGAACACCTAGAGGGTGAGGTGAGGCGGGAAGGAAGGGGGATTGGGGTGATGGGTGATGGGGGATCAGAGCTAGGCACCATGGGTTTCGTTTCAGGGATTGAGACAAAGAAAAGCAGCCTGCTCATGCACCACATCTTGAGCCTCATTTCGTTTCCTCAATGTGCTGCGTGGTTTGTGCCTGTTTCCTCTTGGGCTGCGTTGACTGCTGCTTTTGTTTGTTGCAGATCGTCCCTCCTCCCATTATGAAGTCAGATTTTGACAAGGTGTTGTCGAGACAGAAGCCAACTGTAAGCAAAGACGACCTAAAGATTCAAGAGAAATTCACGGCAGAGTTTGGAGAGGAAGGGTGAATGTGGAGTGTTATGGCCATTTTTTACCCCATGGAAGATGAGGTACATGTTGGCTTTGAATTGTGTTATTCTTATACACGAATGTCCTTTATCACACTATAATAGGTCTTAGGCTTTCAGTTGTTAATAATCTGGTATCAATTGTACGCGACATGGTATGAACAAGTTTATATTTCGATTCGAGATTTCTTTGTGGAATCTCGACCAATCGAACGTTGACACCTTGGGAAAAGCGCACAAAAATCGGCGGATATTCGCGGAGTCTGCCCCCTCTCCCACTTCCCGCCAAACCAGCGGGGGCTGGCGGACAGCTGTGATGCTACTGGCGGCGAACTTCGATATTGTCATTTCGTTACAGCAACTCCGAATTCCAGCCTCACCCCAGCTTAACTCCCGCTCACGTTCCGCTTTCCCGCAACGGGAGTTCTGGGTTTTATTTCACGCTGAGAGCTTTCGTCTTCGGCATCTGTCTTCTGAGCTCTCTAGTGCTTAGAGAGCTTCGTTCAACCTTTCAAGGCGGATCACGAGTCCCGGAAGTGGTTCGGTGTCGCCTTTCTGTTGTTGCCCGGAGCTGTTCTGCGGCGAGGCGACACGAGGGTTGAAACGCGTGAACCAAGGAGTTCTGGCCCTCTCGTGTTCGACGATTCGCAGGTGGTTTCCCCCTTTTCAGACTTAGCCTTCCGGCCCGTCTGCCTTTTGAGTCGACTCAAAAGTCACCTCGTTACAATGTCACACAACACCTTCCGGCCCGTCTGCCTGACGAGCATTAGGCTCTGCTCCCGTTGGCTTCCGCAGCCCGTGCGTCGATCCTCTGTCTCCGATCCACTTACCCCTAGCTCTTTGATCTCTCCCGCTGGTACCTTATCCTGCTGTCCTCCGCTTTCCCCGTCCTTTCTGCTCCTTACTTCTCCGTTTCCGTCTCCGAATCCACATCTCTAAACAGCAGCACCCTTACCACCGCGATCCTTTGCCCGTGCCCTCATCTCCCCGTATCTCAGCGCGATCGCGGGGGTTTGACTCCGACTCTACCCAGGAGCGGCTCTCCGCGGCCATGGAGGCGCTTCTTTCCGCGTGTCTGCTGCAGCCGCGCGCGCTTCCGCTGGGCGTTTCCCCCTGCCTCCCGCGCACCCACTCCCGCCATCTTCGCACGCTTTTGCGGTCCGTGGCTGTCGCCCCCGCCAGCGGCGGGGTTGGCGCTGCACGGCTCGGTAGCAAATGGCTCGGATCTCGAAACATTTCCGCTGCCCGGAATCTGGCTCCCGGGAATCTTTTAGCCTGCCCGGCTCCGGTGGAGCTGCCGCGTGGCGTAGCGCGGCCGGTTGTGGTGGCGACCGCTGGTCAGACGCCGAAGGCAGTTTCGGTGAGTGTTGGGGACTTAGTAGGCAGGATGGGTGAGATGGGCGGGGTGACTTTTGAGTCGACTCAAAAGTCACCTCGTTACGATGGGCGGAGGGGTAGGTTATCTGAGATGCGAGAAGGCCGTATTTTTTAAGGCTTGGTAGGAGTACTTGGTACCAGCAACGTAATGCAGCACGGCTTTAGAAGGTTGGGAATATTGCCGTGTTTGTGAGCGCATAGGCGGATGGGAAGGGGAGGTGCGAGGAGAGACGGATAGCGGGAAAGGAGGAGGGGGAGGACAGTGGGAGAGGGTAAAGCGCGACCTCAGGCGTGTTTGGCGGTACGCCGAGCAGATGCAGCGATGCGCTCTTTCTTGATTTCGTACTTGCGTAATGTGTGTTTCGTAACTGTAGATCACTGTACACGATCCCATGATCAAATCTATTCCCGTGCGAGCAGGGTGATGCGGTGGTTGCTGACAGCAGCGAGTCAACGCCGTCTGCCTCGGCTCACGCGCGTATAGTCACACACTTTTACCGTCACCCTCTCCTCTCTGATGCTGCGGAAGAGTCACTGCTCCACAAGGTAACACGGATTCTAGACCCCCTACTTTCTTATGGGTACTCTTTTAGTCCCTAAAGGTAGAATTCCGATCTTTTTTCTTTCTTCTCCAACGCCTAAGGGGAAAACGTCGGAGCCCTTTTACACCATAAAACCCCTGAAACCCAGAAGGGTTTTGAACCGCGTGCACGTGTGTGCACACCCCTATCTCGGCTCCTCGCCTGCCCTTTTTACCTCTGCTCCTGCCCCCTTCCCTCGCTTCCCCTGTTCCCCCCTCCCCCCCTCTCCCCCCTCCCTCCCCTTCCCCCCCCCCCTCCCCCCCCCCCCCCTCCCCCTCCCGCCGCTCCTCTCCCCCTCTTTCCCGTTCAGGTGCAGGAGAAGGTGTGCGCTGACGTCATCAGCATCCGCACGGAGCAGTGCTTCAACGTGGAGCTGACGTCAGCGCTGGATGCCGCTCACGAGGCTGCTCTGGTGTGGGTGCTATCTGAAACGTACGAGCCCGAAAAGCTCACCAGGGAGTCGGTGTTTAACGCTAGCGCTGCAGCAGCTGAGGGAGGGGAGGAGGGAGAGGGAGAGGAGGAGGGGAGGTGGTAGTGGTGGAGGTGGGGCCTCGTTTGTCGTTTACCACTGCCTGGTCCACCAATGCTGTCTCCATCTGCCGCTCCTGCAACCTCGAGCAGGTAGGGCGGCAAAGAGACTGGGGCCCTGAGCAGGTAGGGCGGCAGGGAGAGTGGGGGCGGCATCAGACAGAAAGTGCAACCTTGAGAGGGTAGGGCGGCAGTGGGGACTTGCCAGCTTTGCTCCAGTTTCGAGCAGGTGGGGCGGAAACAGAAAGTGCAGTCGAGAGCGGGTGGGCCAGAAAGGGGCCGTTTGGGCCTTGCTCTTGCTGGTTTGCGCTGGTTTGCGCTCAGGGGCAGGTGGAAAGGCGGGAGCAGAGGGCGTGCTGCTCCGCGTGCCCCCCCCCGCCGCCCTAGGGGCAGCGTGGGCAGCGGGGGCAGCGGGGGCAGCGTGGAGTCAAGGCCACACGACCCGTTCCTATCATCGGCCACGGGAAACACATCCCCTCTGCCAATTGCCCCCCTTCCTCCCCACCCCCACCCCCTTCAGGTCACTCGCATCGCATTGAGCGGTCTCGCTGTTATGCTCTTAAGCTGGCTCCTGGCGTGGAGGCGGCAACGGCGTTCATAGAGGAGCAGAGGGCAGCGTTTGCGGCGCTGGTGCACGATTGCATGATTCTCCCACTTTCCACCACCCCCCCCCCCCCCCCCCCCCCCCCCCCTCGTCGTTCCGCCAGGTGACGCGCATTGAGCGGTCTCGCCGTTATGCTCTTGAGATGGCGCCAGGCGTTGAGGCAGAGGCTGCATTCACGGACGAGCAGAGGGCTGCATTTGCGGCGCTGGTGCACGATCGCATGACGGAGTGTGTGTATGCCACACGGCTTGAGACGTTCACCACGGATACTGCTCCCGCTCCTGTTGTGCGCATCCCCGTTATGAAGGTGAGTTGCGTGTTTATCCCCATTATAAGGCGACCCGCACTAGCAGCGCTGGTGCACGATCTCATGACGGAGTGTGTGCATGCCATGCGCCTTGAGACCTTTACCACTAATGCTGCCCCCGCTCCTGTTATTCTCATCCCCGTTATGAAGTTGAGTTGCGTTTATGGAGGTGAGTTGCGCGTTTATCCCCGTTATGAGGGTGGTTGAGTCACGTGTTGATTGATGCCTATTATGAGGGTGAGTCATGTCCTTATCCTACGAAGCACAGCTCAGCATATGCAAGAGCATGGGATGGGACACTCCCAAGCACCCCTTGCCTCCCCCAGTTCGCCTCTTTCCTCTTCCCTTACCCCCACTCCTCCCCCCCCACACTGACTCGCTCCGAGAGCAGGAGGGGCGCAAGGCGTTGGAAAGGGTCAACCGCGAGATGGGGCTGGCGTTCGACGAGTGGGATCTGGACGTGAGTGCTGGGGGGGGGAGGGGGGAGGAGAGAGGAGGCTGGAGAGGCAGAAGGGAGGACGGAGGAGAGGATAGAGTATGGTAGTGACGATAGGAGAGGATAGAGTATGGTAGTGACGAGAGGAGAGGATAGAGTATGGTAGTGACGAGAGGAGAGGATAGAGTATGGTAGTGACGAGAGGAGAGGATAGAGTATGGTAGTGACGATAGGAGAGGATAGAGTATGGTAGTGACGAGAGGAGAGGATAGAGTATGGTAGTGACGATAGGAGAGGGTCACCCGCGAGATGGGGCTGGCCTTTGACGAGTGGGACCTGGGCGCGAGTGCCAGGGACGTGGGGGGGAGGGAGGGACACAAGAGAGAAGGCAGGGAGGATAGGCGACGGTCAACGAGTGGGACCTGGGCGTTATTGCTGGAGGAGGGGAAGGAAAGGGGTGGAGGGGGGCAGGAGACGGATGGTATGGGAAATGGAGGATTGAGGGAGGACACTGGGAGGTGGAGTGGTATATGAGGACACCATTCTCACGCCTCTTCACCGTTCCCCACCTCTTCGTATGGCAGTTCTATACCCAATTGTTTCGCGAGGACATAGGCCGGGACCCCACCAACGTGGAGCTCTTTGATATCGCCCAGTCAAACTCCGAGCACAGCCGCCACTGGTTCTTCAAGGTACAGTAGCTTCTCGATATAAGCACTCTCCTAGTTGTGGGACCCACCATTGTGGAGATCTTTGATATCGTGCAGTCTAATTCGGAGCACAGCCGCCACTGGTTCTTCAAGGTACAGCGTATATCCTCGTTTTAGGCAGTCTCATTGTAGGAACCAACGTGAAGAAGCTCTTTGATATTGCGCAGTCTAACTCCGAGCACAGCCGCCACTGGTTCTTCAAGGTGCAGTGTATATCCTCGTTTTAGGCAGTCTTTTTGTAGGACCCCACCACCAGTGTCTTATTCTCGTTTGACATCACGCTGTCTAAGTCCGAGCACAGCCGTCACTGGCTCTTCAAGGTCCACTGCGTACATATCCTCGTTACTTCGGTTTTTGTATGCCTTAGTTACAATCTCTTAGCTCGCTCCCTTCGACGTACTGCAACGCGTGTTCTCCCCTCCTCCCGATTTGACGGGGGACGGGCAGAAGGTGGATCACACGCTCATGGATCGGGTCCCATATGTTCCACATCCCGTCCTCACTGCCCATCCCCCCCCGCTCGCGCATGCTCTCCCCTCCCTCCCCTCCCCCAGGGCGACCTGACGGTGGATGGGCAGAAGGTGGATCACACGCTCATGGATCTGGTGAAGGACACGC